GTAGCTAGGATTATAGGCGTGAGCCATGGACACCCGACTCCCTGAGCTTTTTTTGCTCCAGGATATTATTGCTCTATTACTTAAGCCACAGCTCTCCTTCCAGCTTTTTGGTGGTTAATTGGAGGTAAGAATCTCAGGGGCTGGGAAGGTGGCTCAGTGGTAGAGCGCTTGCCTTGCATGCATGAGGCCCTGGGTTCGATTCCTCAGCACCATATAGGCGAAAGAGCTGAGGGACAGCGCCCAGGCCCTGAGTTCAGGCCCACAACCGGACCCCCCCCCCCAAAAAAAAAAAAAAAAAGAGTCTCATAGACTTTCCTGCCTGGGCAGGCTTTGAACCACAATCCTTAGATCTCACCCTCTTAAGTAGCTAGGATTATAGTCATGAGCCAACAGTGCTCGGCTATATATTTGTTTCATTAAGATAGTTCATGCCTGGGCTGGGAAGGTGGCTCAGTGGTAGAGTGCTTGCCTTGCATGCATGAGACCCTGGGTTTGATTCCTCAGCACCACATAAGCAGAAAAAGCCAGAAGTGGAGCTGTGGCTCAAGTTGTAGAGCGCTAGCCTTGAGCTGAATTGCTGAGGGACAGCGCCCAGGCCCGGAGTTCAGGCCCCACGACTAACAACAAAAAGATAATTCCTGCCTGGCCCTGGTGGCTCACACCTACCGTCCTAGACACTCGGAGGCTGGGATCCAAGGATCATTGTTCAAAGCCAGCCTGGGCAGGATAGTTGGTAACACTCATCTCCAGTTAACCACCAGAAGTGGCACTGTGGCTCAAATGGTAGAGCACTAATCTTGAGCAGAAGCAGCTCAGCACCCAGGTTCTGAGTTCAAGCCCCAGGACCGGCACATACACACAAAAAAGTGGTGGAACTTGCCTGCTTCCACTGCAGCGCTTCTCATGGTGCTTGGAGGAAAACCTGGACTCCTTGATAAAGCCCCGTGCCAGCCGCTCCTGCCGCCTCCTCCGCCCCTCTCCCCGCCGCTGTCTGTCTGGACCAGTCTCCTGGTGTGCAGTGGAGGCCTCCTGGCTCTGGATCTCGGCCCTTTCGAGATCTGCCTCTCATCACCCTGCCTGGCCGCCCGGCAGTCCCTTCTCATCGCCACGCCCCTTCCCACTCACTCTCCCCGCCCTGACCTCATTTATTTTCTTTTGGGTCATTAGTTTATTAGATATATTGATTCATTTGAAACAGGCTTTCACTGTGGTGCTCAGGCTGGCCCTCAAACTCACATTTCTTCTGCCTCAGCCACCCAGGTGCTGGAATTATAGACATGCATTCTCAGCCCAGCCAGGGCAGTGGTGGTTGGTCTCTCCATGAGAGGATCACCTTTGCCTTCTCGTTCACTCCTGAGTCCGCAGTGCTCCAGTGAGCACCTGCTACTCCGGGAGTTCCCTGCATACTTGCTGAATGAGCTCACGACGCCAAGAAGCTGTGATTCCTGGCTTTGTGATCACTAAGTGTTCGGTAAATATTGTTTACCCAAAAGCCAAATTGCTTCCATGTTGGCAGCGTGCACGTGCCTTCCGTGCAGGCAGAAAGTGGATGAGTGGCGTGGGAATGGAACTGACTTAATGGGTTGGTCTCTGGGCTAATTACACGGAGTCCAGACAGCCCAGAGAGCCCCACGCTTCACCCGGGTCTTGCAAAAATTGTGGGGAAGGAGCAGCAAGAATCCTGTGGGGGGATTTGATCCTCAAGGCACGTGGAGTAAGTAGTACTTTGTGTCTGTGGACAGACACATTTGTATCATTGGCGAGCGCTTAATATAATGAGAGGGCCTGGGAAAAGACTTATTCCTGGGCCAAGGCTGAGACAATGTAAAAACGTGCAAAGGTTACTAAAGGCTCTTCGTCCTAGGGAGACGCCACTCCCGTTATCACGTTAGGGCCTTGTTCCAGCGCTTTCCTGGCCTCCCGTTTGTCAGTAGGTCAGTACTCTTTGTTATTGTGCAGCACTCTGCCCCACTTTGCTCTCAAGGTTGGCGCTCTACCACTTGAGCCACATCTCCACTTGCAGCTTTTTGCTGGTTAATTGAAGATAAGAGTGTCTAGCTGAGAAGGTGGCTCAGTGGTTAAAGCGCTTGCCTTGCATGCCTGAGGCCCTGGGTTCGATTCCTCAGCACCACATAAGCAAAAAGAAAAAAGCCAGAAGTGGCGCTGTGGCTCAAGTGGTAGAGCGCTAGCCTTGAGCTGAAGAGCTGAGGGACAGCGCCCAGGTCCAGAGTTCAGGCCCCACGACCGGACCCAAAAAAAAAAAAAAGAGTGTCTCACATTTTTCCTGCCTGGGCGGGCTTTGCATTGATCCTTGGACCTCAGCTGGGATTATGGTATGAGCACTGGCGCCCTGCCCTTTCATCCATCCTGAAGATGTTGCCATTCTTTGCCATCTGTTTTCTTCTTTCAAGGCTGCTAGTATCCCCGTTTATCAGAGCTGTCTCCCTCCAAGGGGCACCTTTCTGATGCGTTGTTAGTGCAGTGCCTGCTGTAGTGAGCATCTTGGTACTTTGTGTATATGAACATATGCGTAGATTAGTTCAGTGTGAACAGATCTCTTGATAGGGGAAAATTTCTGCCGAAACAAGGAAAAAAACCCACAAAACCCTCAGAATCAATAAATGACAGCACGTGGTACTCCTGCTCCATTCCCCTCATCCATTAGAAACACAACTGGTCTGGTCTGGTAGCTCACCCTTAACTTGCGGCTACTCGGGTGCTGGTGGTAAAGGATGGTGGAGGTTAGGAGGATGGAGGGTTGAGGCCAGACTGGGCAGTTAACAGGAGACTCAACTTGAAAACCACACTCAAGGCAAAAAGGACTGGGGGCGTGGCTCTGGCTGTGGAGTGCTGCTGAGCAACTGTGAGGCTCTGAATTCAGTCCTCAGAAGGGGGTTATTGTAGAGGGAGGGTAGGATTACTAGCTTTCAGAGAAGACCTGGAGTCACCGTGAGTGGACCGTGAGATGAGCCTCCTTCCTTCTCTTCTTCCCTCTCTGCCTCCTCTTTCTCTCTTTCTTTGTCTGGTGATCATGGACTGATGGGCACAGGAGGAGGGGTGGCGAGGGTGGGTTCTGCGTATGTCTGGCCTTTGAGTGACTCGGAGAGGGGCTGGCTAGCAGGAGTGCAGGACCGGCCGAGGCCTGTCTGTATCTGAGCAGGCTCCACCCCAGCCTGGGTTTACTGGAACGGGGATGCTATTTTTAATGAAGAGCATTGTGTTTCATCATGGAAATTTTAGTGTCTCAGCGGGCAGCCTGTGGGCCGGCCTCGCATCAGTCCCGATGGACATAGTCTCCGCTGGGTCTGCCCGGAGCCTGCGTGCATCCCACCACCTGTCAGGAAGGCTGGAAGGAGCGTCCAGCAGGTTGATGAGTCACGATGTGAGTCTGCTGCTGTGTAGGGTGGTTTCACTGGGCAATGAAGTCTCAGTGGGTCCCGGGGCACCCGAGGGCACCTGGGCCCAGCAGTGAGCACTGGGGGTGGAGCACTGTCCCTGCAGGGTGTGTGTGAGCGGCCTGGTGATCCTTGCTGCATCTGCAGGATCGCCTGCTGCCTTTGGGGTTCTAGCGGGGGGAGGGAGGGGAAGAGGGGACTCTAGTTTTACCACATTCCCAGGCGTTCCTCCCGGGAGCCTGGGCAGGAGTCTGAGGATGGAGGGGCTGCTGATGCGCCCGGCTGGAGTTGCGTCTGGGGTCAGTGTGCCCACAGTTGGCACGCTAGCCCATCTCCAGTGTCTTTCTGGCTGGCGTTCTGATGTACGGCTGGGAAGGAGGGCTGGGTGGAGAGGACTGCACCTGCCTTTCATGTGCAGTCTTGGCATAAGCTGCAGCCTGGCTCCGGCAGGGTGGTGGGGAGAAGACTGGAGGGAGACCCAGAGTTCAAGGTCACACGTAGCTGTTTCTCAGAGGTTGGGAACCTCACTCCTTGTCCTGTTTTTCTCATTTGCAAAATGTAAAAAAGGAATTGTGGTGTTTATTGCATATATGCTCTTTTTAGTTGAAATCATTTTAAAGTGAAATTTATTATTATTATTACTATTATTATTATTCTGTGCCAGTAATGGGGTTTGAACTCAGGGCCTGGGCGCTGTCTAGGATAACATGCATGGATCACCGGCACTGGGATGAATTTTTTTTTTTTTTTTTTTTTTTTATTTTTTTGTCGGTTGTGGGGCTTGAACTCTGGGCCTGGGCGCTGTCCCTCAGCTCTTCAGCTCAAGGCGAGCACTCTACTACTTGAGCTACAGCGCCACTTCCGGTTTTCTGGTGGTTTATTGGAGATAGGAGTCTCAAGGTCTCTCCTGCCCAGGCTGGCTTTGAACCGCGATCCTCAGATCTCAGCCTCCTGAGTAGCTAGGATTAACAGGCGTGAGCCACCAGCGCCCAGCGAAATTTATTTTTTGAGATAGTAATTCAGGTTTGTTGGTTTTGTTTTTGATTTGCCAGTTCGGGGGCTTGAACTCAGGGTCTGGGCACTGTCTTTAAGCCTCTTTTGCTCAAGGCTAGTGCTCTACCACTTGAGCCACAGTGCCACTTCCAGCTTTTTCTGAGTATGTGGTACTGAGGAATGAAACCCAGGGCTTCATGCATGCTAGGCAAGCACTCTACCGCTAAGCCACCTTCCCAGACCAGTAATTCAGCTAATTCAGGTTTAAAACACCTTTTAGGTGGACAACTGCTTATGAAGTGCCTCTGGTTTTCCCATCTCCCTGAAGTCTCGAATACAGGTTCTGACCCAGACAGGCTTTTAAAGCGCTCCCAGCAGAGGAGGTGGAGGGTATGGCTTCTAGTGGGCGTGGCCTTACGCTGACCTGTGGAGTGCTAGCCTGGTGTTGGTCTGTGGGCGTGGCCTTTGTGTGGGCGTGATCTATAACGGGTATGGGCTCGGCCAGACACCTTGATTGGTCGGCGGGCGCGGCTGGGTGTGGGTGATGTCACGGTGGGTGTGGCTTGGGCGTGTGGGCGTGGTCTTGAAGCCTGCGTGCTTCTTTCCCCGCAGGTGTTGTGAATGGCTGAGCTGCTGCGGCGGCGGCGAGCCCAGGCCCCGCACCGTCTGGTTGGGACACCCGGAGAAGAGGGACCAGAGGTATCCTCGAAATGTCATCAACAACCAGAAGTACAATTTCTTCACCTTCCTCCCTGGGGTAGGTGCAGCCGGCTCTGGGCTCTTTCCTGTCCCCCCCCCTCCCCCCCCCCTGTGGTGCGGGCGTGGTGGCCGCGGGGCAGGCTCGTGGACCCCCCCCCCCCCCCCCCGTTTTCTTGGGCTTCCGTGGCCTGAGCCTGGGGGCTGCCCTCTGTCCTCGAGGCTGGGCGCTCTCCCGCTCACTTAGCACCGCCGGGGCTTTGCGGGCACTGGGCGCCGGAGTGAAAAAGGTCTTGGGGATCTAGTGTCCTAAACCAGCTGTCAGAAAGAGCAGCGGCAGGGCTTCACTTTTCCCCTTTGCCATGAGATGCACGCTCAGTGTAGGCAAGCAAAAGTGGAGGAAAAACTTTAATTACAGCATCTAGAGAGGGAAGTTCTATTTCATCATTCCTTTATTTTGCCAGTACAGAGGCTTGAACTCAGGGCCTGTGTGCTGTCCCTTTGCTGAAGGCTGGCACTGCTGGCACTGTACCACTTGACCACAGCTTCATTTCTGTCTTTTTGGTGGTTAGTTGGAGAGAAGAATCTCATGGACTTTCCTGTCCTGGTGGCTTTGAACAGTGATCCTCAGATCTGTGTCTCCTGAGTGGCTAAGATGACAGGCGTGAGCCACCGGTGCCCAGCAAGATTTATAGTTTAAGAACAGACATGAGCCGGAAGCTGGTGGCTCACGCCTGTCCTCCTAGCTACTCAGGAGGCTGAGAGCTGAGGATCACGGTTCAAGGCCAGCCCAGGCAGGAAAGTCTGTGAGACTCTTATCTCCAATGAACCACTAGAAAACTGGAAGTGGTGCTGTGGCTCAAGTGGTAGAGCGTTAGCCTTGAGTTGAAGAGCTGAGGGACAGCGCCCAGGTCCAGAGTTCAAGTCCCACGACTGACCAAAAAAAAAGAACAGACATGAAGGGCTGGAGATGTGGTGGAGTGTCTGCCTGGCAATTGCAAATCCCAGCACTGCCAAAAAGAAAAAGGAGGAATGGGGGGGGGGGGGTAGGAAAGGTAGATAAAGGAAAGGAAGAAAGAAAGAAAACATAGTTGACTTCTCCTGTGTGCCTCCCCTCTGGTAGTTACAATCCTGAATTTTCTGTGTAGAGTCACCATGGTTAGCAGGATTTACCTTTGCAAATGGTGTTCTGCCTAAGGAACTTACGGAGCTGTTTAAGCTTTGTGTGGAAAGCGGTATATAAGTGGCATTTGTATGTGCAGGTGTTTTACACCTGGCGAAGCTCACCCATCTAGCAATGTGTGCCGGTGTCCCTCCCTGGCTCTCTCCACCCTCCAGGTGCTGTTCAACCAGTTCAAGTACTTCTTCAACCTCTACTTCTTGCTTCTCGCCTGTTCCCAGTTTGTACCTGAGATGAGACTGGGTGCACTCTATACCTACTGGGTCCCTCTGGTGAGTAGCTGGGCCTGCCTTCTTCCAGCCTCAGGTTTGCACATGGGTGTTGTAGGAGATAGATGGCAACTCCATTCAGTTTGTGAAAAGTGCAATGGAGCTAATAAAATGAGGTTACTGGTGATGAGATGGGGCTATCCCAGGGAGATGGGCTATCCCAGGGAGATGGGCTATCCCTTGAAGACCAGCTGCTTGGAGACAGTAGAAAGAGAGGAAGAGTGTTCCACACAGATGTGGGGTGGGGGATCCTGGGCCCAGAACTTTCAGAGTGAAGTTGTGGGAACTGGTTTGTCCTCAACCAGAAAGGGATGCAAAGGGGCCTCCTGGACAGCAGCCCCCAGGAGAGTGGCAGGGCCAATTCACATGAGCTGTCAACCTTTAGAGACCAGGAGGAGCCAGGCATGGTGGTTCACTCCTGTAATCCCCCCACTGGGAGGTGGAGGCAGGGGGATTCTTGATTTGAGGCTGGCCTGGGCAATATAGCAAACCTGTCTCAAAAAAAATCAAGCTGGGTTCCAGTAGCTCACACTTGTAATCCTAGCTACCCAGGAGGCAGAGATCTGAGAATTTTAGTTCCAAGCCAGCTTGGAACTTTAGTCCAGACTCTTCTCCAATGAATCAGCAAAAAGCTAGAATGGAGCTGTGGCTCAAGTGGTAGAACTCCAGCCTTGAGTGAGAAAGTCAAGTGAGAATGCAAAGCCCTAAGTTCAAGGCTTAGTACTAGAAGCACACGTACACGCACACACGCGCGCACACACACACACACACACACATTACTGAGTGAGAGGGAATTACACGGGATTACAATGGGTCACGGCAGGGCAGGACATGGAGGAGCGTTTCTGGGGGGGACTGTGGGAAGTTCCCACACGCCTGAGCCCTGCAGAACACAGAGCTCTAAGCTCACGGGTTCCACTGGTCCCTTGCAGGGCTTCGTGCTGGCCGTCACCATCATCCGAGAGGCTGTGGAGGAGGTGCGGTGCTGTGTGCGGGACAAGGATGTGAACTCTCAAGTCTACAGCAGGCTCACAGCCAGAGGTTGGTCAGCCTCCGGGCTCCGGGTTCTCAGCTGCTGCCCACTGACTTTCCAGGGAGCAGAGTTCAGGTTGGGGGTGGGTGCAGAAGGGACACCCAGGAGCGGGGTGGGGGGGGGGAAGGAAGGGAGGCTGCCAGACTGCAGACTGGGTGGGACTAACTCTTGAGAGCTAGTCCTGTCCAATCACTTGTGCTGGGCCTGGAATTAAATTCTGTGTGCTTCCCGGAAGGAGGGTAGAGAAGGCCCCTTGCGCACGTGTTGGCCCAAACAGTTTTCAAAGTTCCTTTTCTACCAGGGATTAGGCACACAGTCTTCCTTTTGCCCAAATCTAGCCTCTGTGAAAGGCATCTTATTACATTGTCCAAGCAGAGGAGTTGGGACTTGTCTTCTGACCTGGGACAGGAGTGAGCCGATAATCTTTCCTCAGGACTGTCTGCAGGGTTCAGGTGCAGCACACATTTTCAATAGTAGAACTTAAAAACAAATAACAAACTTGCCAGAATCTAAGCTTGGAGAAACCCACAGCAACCCAGCCAAAGCTGATTTCTGTTTTCAACTACCATAGAGTTTAGTTTGCACTGGGAGTCAAAGGGCATCGTTGACCAGTAACCTGGCTGCAGTAGATAATAATGATTGTCCTTGGGTTGCCAGCGATCCTCAAGTAGGAATACTATTTTGGGAGGGAGAGTCCTGGAGGAATGAAAATGGTGTCTAGCCTTCAGGAAATGGAGGATTCTGGAAGAGATTAGATAGATAGATAGATAGATAGATAGATAGATAGATAGATAGATAGATTGATAGAGATGGAAGCTGAGGTTGCTAGTGGGTGAGCCAGGGCCACAGCTACCTGTCTTGTGGTTACAGGTTTTGCTTCCTAATATGGTTTAAAGCTTTGAGGCCAATTTCCTTCTAGGAAAATGTCTCGACGCTGAGCCAGTAATGAGGGGTGGAGCACCGTGGGCATGGTCGAGATCAGCACTCTTACTTTTTGTATTAATTTTTTTTTCTCAATCAAGAGGCTTGAACTCAGGGCCTAGGTGCTGTCCCTCAGCTCTTTGAGCGCTCCACCACTTGAACCACAGCACCACTTCCAGCCTTTTCTGTTTATGTGGTGCTGAGAAATCAAATGCAGGGCCTCATGCATGCAAGGCAAGCATTCTACCACTGAGCCACCTTCCCAGCCCTTTTGCATTAATTTTTAAAAATTGTTATTATAAGCTGGGCATTGGTAGCTCACGCCTGTCATCCTAACTACTCAGTAGGCTGAGATCTGAGGATCACTGTTCAAAGCCAGCTTGGGCAGAAAAGTCTGTGAGACTCCGATCTCCAATGAACCACCAGAAAGCTGGAAGTGGTGCTGTGGCTCAAGCGGTAGAATGCTCGCCTTGAGCTAAAGAGCTTCCCCCCCCCCCCCCGCCCCCAATTGTAGGGCTTGAACTCAGGGCCTGGGCACTGTCCCTGAGCTCTTTTTGTGCAAGCCTAGTACTCTACCACTTTGAGCCACAGCTTTACTTCTGGGAATTTTCTGCCAGGGCTGGCTTTGAACTGCAATCCTCAGATCTCTCCCTCCAGAGTAGTTAGGGTTACATCCGTGTGCACAGGAACAGAACCTGCGTGGCCTGCCTGTCGCCCACGGAGGATGGGGGGGGGAGGCTGGGGGAGGGGAGGCTGGGGGAATCCGTCTCTGGAGTGGTCACACAGCTGGCCGGCGGCTGTCACCAGCAGTCACGGTGCTCCGTGTCCGGTGCTCCGTGTCCGGTGCTCCGTGTCCGGTGCTCCGTGTCCGGTGCTCCGTGTCCGGTGCTCCGTGTCCGGTGCAAGGCAGAAGCAGAGTTGGAGGTGCTCAGGGCCAAAGACGGACCCCACAGGAGAGCGCCCCCAAATGTGAGCAGCGTTCTTTTTGGGGGTGGACGGGGACAGGCTGGTCCGCCGTGAGAGCGGCCGCTCGCTTGTTTCCAGGCCCGGGCGGCCACATGGCTTCTCCCCGAGGCGGACAAGCTGTTCTTATGCCGGAGCCATCATGCGTGCCGCCGGGCCGGGGAGAGCTGCGCGTGAAGACAGACAGCTCCAGCCCTGGCTCGCTCCCTTGCTCGCGCTCCCCTCCCAGCGCCCTGCACGCGGCAAAGCCCAGAGCCAGGAGCAGAGTATGAGAAGATCTGTCATGATGTGGGCTGTGGTGGTGGGGGGTGTTGTGTTGTTTTCTTCCACTTCATGTACATGAAAATCTCATCTGTGAGTTTGTCACTTGCCATCAAAATTCTCAAAAATCCTTCCACCCTGGGGAGGGGGCGCTTGGGCGTCCAGGGTGCAGAGCTGGGCTCCCCGGGGCCAGGCCGCCTCTTCCTGGGCCTTTGTATTCCCTTCCTGAACAGGTGTGTATGCTGTTAAACTTGGTGTGAGGTAGCGAGCCGAGCAGTGTAGGGCTCGCCCATGATCTGGGGGTCAGCGACGCAGCCATTGGAGACGCAGCTCCCCTGCCTAGCCCAGGGCCCCCCGCAAGCCCCGCGAGGCGCGGAGGGAGGGCACAGCTCCTTCCCAACGCTTGTGAGATCATGGCAACGCGCTGCCCGTGTCTTTCTCTGGTACTTTGTTAGCCCTCCGCAGCTGTGCCTCAGTTTCCCAACTGTTTGTAGAGGGTTTGTCAGTGCTTGATGGCTGCTGACACATTATGTGTCAGCTAGAGCCAGGTGATGGTGGCTCACACCTGTAATGCCAGATCCTCAGGAGGCTGAGATCTGAGGATCACGGTTCGAAGCCATCCCAGACAGGAAAGTCTGTGAGATTCTTATCTCCAGTTATCCAGCCAAAAGTCCCAAGTGGAGATGTGGCTCAGGGACAGCGCCCAGGCCCTGAGTTACTTTAAATCCCAGGATTGGCACATCACACACACACACACACACACACACACACACACACACGGGCACACACACACGGGCACACATACACGGGCACACATACACACGTGCGAGCATACACACACGCATAGCTCTGCCTACTTATTTTTTTTTGTTGGTCGTGGGGCCTGAACTCTGGGCCTGGGCGCTGTCCCTCAGCTCTTCAGCTCAAGGCATCGCTCTACCACTTGAGCCACAGCACCACTTCTGGCTTATGTGATGCTGAGGAATGGAACCCAGGGCCTCAGGCATGCAACGCAAGCGCTCTACCACTGAGCCACCTTCCCAGCCCTGAGCTACATTCTTTTGATGACCAAAAACATAATACACGGGACAGGGTGTCTCGCAGTATGGTCAGCGCCCTTCGCTGGTGTGGTAGTGGGGCCTGGGGTCTCTGTTGAAGCTGTCACTCTGTCCCCTCTCCTCCAAAACGCAGATGGTAAGAGCGCACAGGTGCCCAGCAAGGTGGGCTGGTGCGTGCGTGCGAGGTGGGCAGCCCAGCACCGGCTCTGCCACACACGCACACACACGCGCACACACACACACGCACGGGGGTTTGTGGAGTGGAACAGTACAGTTCCAGTGTTGGCTGTAGAGCAGGGCACAGTTTTAGAAAAGGGGAGGAAATCTGAGCCTTGTTGCTTAGAAAGTAGGAATCCATTCCACTACTTTCATTCTGATTAGAAAGGCAATCTGGTGCTTACTGTAAAAGAGAAAGGGAGGGATCTGAGAGCTAGCAGAGGGCTAGTTAGGGGTCAGCGCGCACTGAGAGCCCCGCCCCCCTACGCCCCCTCCCGGTTTTGTTGTCTGTCTGGCTCCCAGACACACAGACATATCTATTATGCACGGTTGTTATTTAGCGAGAATTTAAACGTAGGCGCTCAGGATGTGTAATCACAGCAGCGGAAGCGGGAATGATAAAAGCAGATGAGGTGTGAATTCATACTGGGAGGGTTGAAGCGCGCTCAGGGGTCATTGGGCCCACGCCATCGTCCTTTCTGGTGCCTGCCCTCCACTGCTGCCCCCTGGTGGAAGAGATGGAGCGGTTCACTCTCCCCATGGGATCTGACCAGCGGAGCCGCCCGGGAACATCGCTGCTGCCGCCGATGTCTCCCTGTGGTTATGTCTAAGCCGCTCCGCCTGGCTCTGTCCTGCCAGGTATTCTAGCAGGGCGGGCTGTGCAGGTTGTTTGCAGAGCTGCTGATTCACAGGAGGAACTTGAGTGGCTGTGACTTTGGTTTCATTGGGGCCCTGGAGGGAGGGCGGGCGGGTGAGGGTCGGTTTCCAACCAGAGAGCCCCAGAGGTAATGAAGCCCGAGGCTCCGCGCCTCCTCAGGGTCAGCATGGCATTTTCTGGAGGTGGGGTGCTTGCTGGGTGTGGAGTTCCCACGGGAGTGGCGTGGGGCGCGGGGAGGGCAGCTCGCGACTATCACCCGTGCTTTCGAGAACTCCATTGTGTCTGAACCCACCTTGGGCGCCAGTTTGCTTGCTGCGATGGCAACTAAGTTTAGGCAAATACAAAACAGGTTAAAGTCAAATCTTGTGGAACCCATAACAGTGAGGTTTTTATTATCTGTGAGTGCATGTGCACACACACATCGTGGAGCTTGAACTCAGGGCCTGAGAGCTGTCCTTCCCTCTTTTACTCAAGGCTGGTGCTCTACCACTTGAGACAGCTTTTTATAAATTTATCGGGGAGGGCTCGCAGGTGGCTCAGTGGTAGCGTGATCGCCTTGCATGCATGAAGCCCTGGGTTCCATTCCTCAGTACACAGGAAGGCTGGTAGTAGCACTGTGGCTCAAGAGCAAAAGAAGCTCAGGGAAAGTGCCCAGGCCCTGAGTTCAAGCCCCAGGACTGGCCAAATAATAATAATAAAAATAACAACAACAATAATAATAATTGGAGATAAGTCTCATGTACTCTCTGGCCGGAACTGGCTTTGAATCTCAGTCCTCAGATCTCAGCCTCTTGAGTAGCTGGGATGACAGTGCCGGGCAGTCTTTCTAGCTCATGTTCATTATCCCCTGCCCTTTGCTGGGGGTGGGGGTGGGGGTGGTGCTGGGGGGGGGGGTGGCAGGTGGGGGCCGTGCTAGGGTGGGGTAGGGGGGTGGGGGTGGTGCTGGGGTGGGGTAGGGGCGGTGCTGTGGTCCTGGGGCAGCTGATGCTGGCGGGCAGAGCGGGTCGCCCGCTCTATGTCCGGCTGCCCAGGTGCGCTCATGGCCACTAGCACGCTGCCTGGACAGGAGCCAGGCTGGTGATGGCTGCTTCGCTCCTGTTGTCTCCAGGGACGGTGAAGGTGAAGAGTTCCAACATCCAGGTGGGGGATCTGATCATCGTTGAGAAGGTGAGCAGGGGGCTCGGCTGGCCGCCACGGCTGTGCGGGAACCTCGTGGGTAGAGCCTGGCTGGGGAGTGGTCTCCAAGATGAATTAGATCGTGCTTTGGGATGAGACAAACATAAACATATTTCCTTTTTTCGTTCTTTGTCCTTTTTTATTTTTTGGTGCTGGTCTTGGGGCTTGAACTCAGAGCCTGGGTGCTGTCCTGAGCGGCTTTGGCTCAAGGCTAGTGCTTTACCACTTGAGCCACAGCGCCACTTCTGGCCTTTTCTGAGTAGTTTATTGGAGATAAGTGTCTCAAGGACTTTCCTGTCTGGGCTGGCTTTGAACCAGGATCCTCAGATCTCAGTCTCCTGAATAGCCTAAGATGACGAGGGAGCCACTGGCGCCTGGCTTCATGAGACTCTTACCTCCAATAAACCACCAGAAAACTGAAATTGGTGTGGTTGGCTCAAGTGGTAGAGTGCTCACCTTCAGCTGAAGAGCTGAGGGACAGCGCCCAGGCCAAGTTCAAGCCCCATGACCGACCCTCCTTCCCCCCAAAAAAAGTGACAGTGTTAATATTTGTTACTTCAGCAAACATTTCCATTGTGTGATACAGTAGCACTGCTTTTTTTTTTTTTTTTTCTGATTAATTGGAGATAAGAGTCTCAGGGACTTTCCTGCTCAGGCTGGCTTTGAACGATGACCCTCAGATCTCAGCCTCCTGAGTAGCTAGGATGACCGGCGGGAGCCACCAGCCCCCCTGGTGGTGAACCATGCTCTTTTAAGAGGATTCAACCCAAGAGCCTAAGATTGGTTAGAGGGAATGTGGACCCTGGAGGCCCAGGCCTGAGTTCCCGTGTGCAATTCTGATTGTGACCACAAGGGGTCTCCTGCGAGCCTTCTCCTTCCCCTAGAGTGGTGGTTGTTGCTTCTTGCTACTGACATCCTTGTTAAATGCCCTCCTCCCCTCCCCCCGCCCCCAGAGCCCAAGAAACACCTGGAAAGTTGTCCAAGGCCGGCTGTGGGAGCGTATGCTCCTCCCTCACACCGCCCTCTGGCTAGACTGAAACGGGAAAGCTTTGGGAGAGATGAGGTGTGTGTGTGGGGGGGGGTGTCATCCAGGCTGGCAGCCTGCATGCTTGTTTAGACTCCAAACAAAACCAGCTGCCACATTTGTCTTTTTTTTTTTTTTTTTTTGTCGGCCGTGGGGCTTGAACTCTGGGCCTGGGTGCTGTCCCTCAGCTCTTCAGCTCAAGGCGAGCGCTCTACCACTTGAGCTACAGCGCCACTTCCGGTTTTCTAGTGGTTTATTGGAGATAGGAGTCTCACAGTCTCTCCTGCCCGGGCTGGCTTTGAACCGTGATCCTCAGATCTCAGCCTCTTGAGTAGCTAGGATTACAGGCGTGAGCCACAAGCACCCGGCTACATTTGTCTTTTTAAGAAAGGCAGAGATCCCACCCCACCCCACCCCCGGGGTGCGCCCAGTGACTTTCTCTCTACTCCACAGAACCAGCGGGTCCCAGCCGACATGGTGTTCCTAAGGACGTCAGAGAAAAATGGTAACTGTCCGAGATCAGATCAAAATAGCCTCTGCCTGCCCGTGGGCGTTGGGCCAGGTCTCCAGTAGAAAAGGTGTGGGCAGTCCGTGTGGGACGTCCTGGAGGGGCGGAGGCGTGGCCCAGATGTCCTCTGGGTCAAGTGGGTTTTTACACTGGACCGTGGTGTTTGTGGGGTTGCGTGCAGGCCGGCAGATGGGGACCTGCGGTTGGAGTTTGGGTTTTGTCTCTGGGCTGCTCTTGGCACCCTGGTGGGAGGTGGCCAGTTGGGGAAAGGCCTCCAAAAGACACAAGGGCCGGGGCATGGTTCAAAGGACAGCGCCCGCCTCACACACTCCGGGGCTCAGAATCACTGCCTCTGGAGGAGACGGGAAGGGGGTGGGAATGAGCGATGGAGCGCTTCCTGACCAGCTTTGCTGGAGAGGCTTTCTCCACCAGACATGGCCCCGTACGCCGTGTCCTCGGCTTTGCTGCCTGCTTTTTTTTTTTTTTGGTTGGTTGTGGGGCTTGAACTCAGGGCCTGGGCGCTGCCCCTCAGCTCTTCAGCTCAAGGCTAGCACTCTACCTCTTGAGCCACAGCACCACTTCCAGTTTTCTGGTGGTTTATTGGAGATAAGAGTCTCAGGGACTTTCCCACCCGGGCTGGCTTTGAACCACCATCCTTAAATCTCAGCCTCCTGAGTAGCTAGGATGACAGGTGTGAGCCCTTGGCACCCAACCTGCCTTACTTTTTTGTGGTGCTGGTCCTGGAGCTTGAATTCAGAGCTAAGATGCTGTCATTGGAGATGAGTCTCATGGACTTTCCTGCCCAGGCTGGCTTTGAACCTACACAGCTCAGACCTCAGCCTCCTGAGTAGTGCAGCACCACTGCCTGGCACTGGATCTAGATTCTCAAAACAATTTTCTTGCGATATTTGCATGTGTATAATGAGATGTCCCATTTACCTTATTCATGGGGCTGAACGAGTCTTGCGCCTTCCACTCAGGACATCAGTCGTGTTGGTGACAAATTGGCTTCATATTTTGGAACATTTTGGGTTATGCTCAGGCTGGGTTTCAAACCGCCATCCTCCGATCTCAGCCTCCCGAGCAGCTGGGATCGCAGGCGTGGGCGCTGGGTGCCGGCTGGTGGGCTGGGCTCTCAGCGGCCGCCTGCGGCCCCGCTTCCCTCCCAGGGTCTTGCTTCTTGCGCACGGACCAGCTGGATGGGGAGACGGACTGGAAACTGCGCCTTCCTGTGGCCTGCACGCAGCGGCTGCCCACAGCTGCCGTGAGTAGTGAGGGACATGCGGCGAGCAGCGGGGCTGGTGCAGAGGTGGGGTTGGAGGCGTGCGAAGGCGCACGTGCGGGTGACGATGCCCGGCAGCTGCAGACACCGCGCCCCGCGCCTGCCTCCAGAGGCTCGGCTTCTCCCAGCAGGCCTGGGGTCCTTGCTTCCGTCCAGGCAAGCTGTCCACACTGCTGAGGCCCTGACCCCCACACCGTCCCCCGCCCCCTCCCCCACGCCATGGGTTCCTCTGCAATTGGGCGCAGCACTGTGTCACCTCACAGAGGAGGCCGCGACCTGCCAGCTGGCGCCACCTGCCAGCCGGCGCTCACCGCCCTGGGGGCTCCCTCCTGAACCCGCCCTGCGGCATCCTTGCAGTTGGCCAAAGGTCCTTTAGATGCAGACCCCCCCCCTTGTCTTCTCCCCTGCCCCTTGTCTCCCCCTCCTTGTCCCCTCCCCTCCCCCCGCGGTCCCCCTCTCCCCCCCCCCCCCCCCGTCCCCGCCAGCGAGGTCTGGAAGAGAGAAGGTCACAGTCGGAGCTGTCCCGAGAGGATTGAGTGCACGGGGTTGGGGCTGCAGCATGGGGCCGGCCTCCCTCTCCCCATTTTTCATGGCGATGACAGGGAGGTTCCCCCCCCCCCCCCCAAAATCAGGACTGACTTTTCTTTGTCAGTCGTGGGGTTTGAACTCTGGGCCTGTGCGCTGTCCCTCAGCTCTTCAGCTCAAGGTGAGCGCTCTACCACTTGAGCCACAGCACCACTTCCAGTTTTCTAGTGGTTTATTGGAGATAAGAGTCTCATGGCCTTTCCTGCCCGGGCTGGCTTTGAACCATGATCCTCAGACTCAGCCTCCTGAGTAGCTAGGATGACAGGCGTGAGCCACCAGCACCTGGCAAGATTGACTTTTAAACCAGGAGTTCCAGAGCTAGGCATTTCTGGTGGTTGTTAGTGGCGGTAGGGTCCCACTGTCCAAGAGCTCAGGCCAACCTCAAACGCACAGTCCTCGGGCCTCAGTCTCTCCAGAGCTGGGAGAGCCTGCCACACCCCACAGGTATCTTGAATAAGATGCATCTAGTGACACCACCCTGGCTTTCCTTTTTCCTCTGAACAAACCCTGCTTTAAGAGAAGAGGCAGAAGGAAGCTTCTACAGGATCAGGGTATCACCCAGTGCGTACCCAGCATGTAGGGGGCCTGGGTTTGATCCCACCGCTACAGTGAATGAATGCATGTGTGAATGAATGAATGACTGCATGTGAGGATGAAAGAGCAAATGAATATGTGTGAATGAGTGAATGGTTGCATGTGTGGATGCGTGAGTGAACAAATGCATGTGTGGGTGCATGAGTGAATGCATGCATGTGTGGATGCATGGGCGCAGCATTGCATGTGAGACTTGTGAATGCTTGTGTGGGTGCGTGAGTGAACAAATGCTTGTGTGGGTGCGTGAGTGAATGCATGCATGTGTGGGTGCATGGGTGCAGCATTGCATGTGAGACTTGTGAATGCTTGTGTGGGTGCGTGAGTGAATGCATGCATGTGTGGGTGCGTGGGTGCAGCATTGCATGTGAGACTTGTGAATGCTTGTGTGGGTGCGTGAGTGAATGGTCGCAGATGTGAATGAACAAATGAGTGGCTGAATGTGTGTACAGATGAGTGGACCTCCTGGTGTGAGGCTGTGACGTGGCCAGGCTGTTCTGTGCAGGCAGGCGTCGGCGTTAGTTCGCCTGGCCCGTGTGTGAGCAGGTGGCCGCCCATGGACACTCAGGGTCCCCGAGCGTCCTGAGCAGCAACTTCCAAGCTGACGGAGGGGGAGGACTTTCTCCTTCCCTCCCATTCTGGAAGCTTGCTTGGGAAACATAGTACTTTGGAAAAGTTACAGCTGTAACGCTGAAACGCTGCCTGGCAGGCGGTGTCCCCCATCTGGTGTTGTCTTCCGGTGTGGACTGTGTGTCACCCTTCCTCTGCGGTCTGACTGTATGTCTCCCGTCTGTGTGGACTGTGTCTCTGTCCTTCGCTCTGACTGTGTCTCGCGCGCGTGTGTGGAACAGGACCTGCTGCAGATCCGGGCGTACGTCTACGCGGAGGAGCCGAACATCGACATTCACAACTTCGTGGGGACTTTTAACAGAGTAAGTTTGCGGAGTGTGGTGAGGTGTGGGCTGTGGGGACGGGGTGCGGGTTCTCCGGTAGAGCGTGGTTTTGGCCACGTGGGGCTGAGTGGCCCCGTGGTTCTCTCGGAGCCGTGGGGAGCCCGGATCCGGAGCGCTCAGCGTGTCGTGGTGGACGCGGACACTGACAGGGACCCCGATGCTCCCTGCTCCCCCCGGTGCTCCCTGCTCCGGGCCTGTCCTCCCTCCTGGCGTCCATACCCTGTCTGCTACTTTGATGATGATGATTACTCTTTGAGCCAGTACTGGGGCTTGAACTCAGGACCTTGTGATCTTGCTTGGCTTTTGCACTCATGGCTGAGCTGAGGCTCTACCCCTTGAGCTTTTTAAAAATTTTTTTTGCCAGTCGGGCTTGAACTCTGGGCCTGGGCGCTGTCCCTGAGCTGCTTTTGTTTGTTGCTTCCAGCTTTTTCTGTGTATGTGGTACTGAGGAATCGAACCCAGGGTTTCATGCGTGTTAGGCAAGCACTGTACCACTGAGCCACCTTCCCAGCCCTGTCTTTCTTTTCCTGAAGCCACAAGGCCAGGCCGCAGCGCCTCGGTGCTGTGCTTCTGGGTTTTATTTTTGTTGTTTGGGTTTTTTTAACTGTATTTTTTTTGTCTTTTTTGGTATTGAGGATCGAACCCAGGACGTTGCACTTGCTAGGCAAGCGCTTTGCCACTGAGCTACATCCCAGCCCTGGGTTTTATTTTGACCTTAAAGAATATTTCCGTGGTGTTAGAAACCCGTGTTTCTCATATTAAAACTGGTGTTCCCAGGGATTTCCATGGAGATGACAGCTCCAAGGTCACTAGTAGACAGGCTTGGTTTGATGCTCATGTCTAGGGGGGGCATCAACTAAACTGGGGGCACCAGTTTTATCAGGCAGAGCCCTTCTTTTTTTTGGGGGGGGCAGAGGTATGACAATTTGAATTTAAGGCCTTGCGCTCTGGTTTCTCCAAGCTGTGTTTGCATCAGCTTGCTTGCTCATAGCTGGTATTCTATCACTTGAGCCACACCTCTAGTCCAGTTTTTTCTTGAAGGGGGGGGGTTGAACTCGGGGCCTGGGCTCTGTCCCTGAGCTCTTTTGCTCAAGAATAGAGCTCTACCGCTTTGAGTCACAGCTCCGTATATCTGGTTTTCTGGTGGTTAGTTGGAGGTAAGAGTCTCCTGGGCTTTCCTGCTCAGACTGGCTTTGAACCATGATCCTCAGATTTCAACCTCCTGAATAGCTAGGATTATAGGTGTGAGCCACCAGTGCCCAGCGCAGCCCACCTTTTTTGGTGGTTATTTTGGATATAGAGTGTCAGTGACTTTTCTGCTTGGGCTGACTTTGAACCGTGATCCTCCACATCTTGGTAGAGTAACTTGCCTGAGTCCTTCTCCTTCCATCCCAAAGAGCAGGCTGGGAGTACCTGTGGATTCTTCCAGAACCTTGGTACAGCCTCCACCCTTAGACAGCAGCCTCCTCATCCTCAATCTCAAACAGTTGTGCATTGAGATCGTTTCAGAAGAAAGCATCTGTGCCAGCATTATGTCCACCTCCCTTTAGTGCTGGGACTCAGCTCGGGGGTGCTGGCACCAGTGCCCTGGGGATACTGAGGGACCGCTGTCGCTGACCCGCGGTGTGTTTGGTCTTGTCTAGGAGGACAGCGACCCCCCCATCAGTGAGAGTCTGGGCATGGAGAATGCCCTGTGGGCTGGCTCGGTTGTGGCATCAGGTGAGTCCTGTGTGTGCGTGTGTGTGCACATGCGTGTGCACAGGGGGGTGTTAACAATTTGTGAAGACTGCCCTTCTGTCCCTTGTGAGTGGCGTGATCGTCCGGGCTTGGCTCAGATGGTGATCCTCCTACTTGCATCTCCCGTGTACCTGGGACGAGAGGCTCGGTGGTTGAGTTGGAGTCTTGCTACGTTGTTGCTCGCACTGGCCTCCCATCAGCTCGATCCTCCCGAGTGTGAGCCACCATGCCTGGAGAGCTTCTAAGATTCAGAAGTTGGCAACTGAGTCAAAACCTTCACACCCGGCTGGTGACGACCGACCCCCCCCTCCCCCCCCCTGCCCCGCTGTGCTTCCTGCTGGGTGAAGCCAGGGTTCCCGTCTGGCGGGGCCTGAACAGCCAGAGGCACTGGGTGTAGCACCTGGCACTCGGGTGTTTGGTGGTGGCCTGGCAGGCATGTGCAGGCAGCCGCTGTTCATGGTGCCCGTCCTTTGCCATAGGACTTGTTCTGACTGGCACCGGGGCCTCTGGGAGGCTGAGCCTCGTCGGCATAGCGGTGAGCGGAGGCCACACGGTAGCCCTGGCTCAGCCCCGCTTCCTCTGTACCCAGCTGCTCTGGCACCTGCTTCAGGGCAGGGCAGTATTCTCTAGAAGCGCAGAGGACGTTCCTGGCCTGGCCCAGCCATTTCCTTTGGCCTCCTGCTCTTTGTCTAAAGACAGGGGTGTGGGAGAAGGGAAGGAGGGTGGCACTGGCTGCCTGCCCTGGGGGGAGAGCTGCCGCACCCGAGGGTTAGCATCTTCCTCCAGCGGTCCTCAGGTGGAGGAAGAGAAGGGCAGGCGGCTGCCTTCCAGCAGACATGGCCAGGGTCTTTCCCGAGCCCCACAGCACGTTTCTCAAGGTCAGGGTCAGGGCGGTCCTCGGCTGGGTTCGATCCTCTGCGTGGCTGGTGTGTGCTGTGCCCGCTCCACGCTGTGCCCGCTCCCCATGCCTCTCGCCCCCCCAAATCGATGGCTCTAGTTCATGTTTCGGCCGCCAGGGGTGCTGGGACTCCCCAGAGCTCTGCCAATCTAAGAGAGGGGAAAAGGGGGTGATTTTATATCGCTTTATTTACCTAATTAAGCGTAGCTGTCTTTCCTTCCTTCCTTCCTTTCTCTTTCTTTCTTTCTTTCCTCTTTCTGTCTGTCTGTCTGTCATTCTTTCTTTCTTTCTTTTTTTTGGATCCGGTTGTGGGGCCTGAACTCGGCCTGGGCGCTGTCCCTCAGCTCTTCAGCTCAAGGCTAGTGCTCTATCACTTGTACCACAGCACCAACTTCCGGTCTTCTGGTGGTTAATTGGAGAAAAGAATCTCTCTGACTTTCTTGCCCTGGCTGGCTTCAAACCACAATCTTCAGATCTTAGCATGCTGAATAGCTAGGATTATGTGTGTGAGCCACTAGGGCCATGCACAGCACATTTTTTTGGTCAGGTCTGGGCCTGAACTCTGGGCTTGAGCGCTGTCCCTCAGCTCTTCAGCTCAAGGCTAGCGCTCTATCACTTGAACCACAGCACCACTTCTAGCTTTTTTCTTTTTGCTTATGTGGTGCTGAGGAATCGAACCCAGGGCCTCATGCATGCAAGGCAAGCGCTCTACCACTGAGCCACCTTCCCAGCCCCTTTTTATTTTTTTGTGCTGCTCCTGGGATTGAATTTAGGGCCTGGAAACTGTCCTTTAGCCTTGATGTTTTATTTTGTTTTTTGGTTAGTCAGGGGTCTTGAACTCAGGGCCTGGGCTCTATCCCTGAGCTTTTGTGCTTAAGGCTAGTACTCTACCACCTTGAGCCACAGCACCCACTTCCAGAGATAAGAGTCTCATGGGCTTTTCTGCCCTGGCTGGCTTCAAACCACTATCCTCAGATCTCAGCCTTCCCAGTAGCTACGATTATAGGTGTGAGCCATCAGGGCCCAGCTCCCTTAGCTTTTTCATTGGAGGCTAGTACTCTACAACTTGAGCCACACCTCCACATCTAGCTTTTTGCTGGTCAATTGGAGATAAGAGCTCGCAGGCTTTCTCCAGGGCGGCTTTGAACGGGGTCCTCAGCTCTTAGCTCCGTGAGTGGCTAGGATGACCGGCAGGAGCCGCTGACCCCAGAGAACTTTGTGCAACGAGAACGTTCTCGGGTGCTGTTCCATGGCCTGCATGTGGCTTTTCAAAGCTTAAGGGGTGATCCGGGGAATGGGGAGCTGGGCCTCTCTGATTTGTATCGGATGGGAACGTCCAGGGCTGCAACGCGTGGCTCTGCGCTGTGGGCGGGGCGTCCCCACGCGGTGTCTGGGCGCGTGGCTCTGAGCCCTGGGCGGGGCGTCCTCGCGGTGTCTGGGCGCGTGGCTCTGAGCCCTGGGCAGGGCGTCCTCCTGGTGTCTGGGCGCGTGGCTCTGAGCCCTGGGCGGGGCGTCCTCACGTGGTGCCTGGCGCATGGCTCCGCCCTGGGCGGGGCGTCCTCGCGCGGTGTCTAGGCGCGTGGCTCTGTGCCCTGGGCAGAACAGGGTGTCCTTGCGTGGTGCCTGGCGCATGGCTCTGCGCCGTGGGCGGGGCGTCCTCAGGTGTATCTGCGCGTGGCCCTGCGCCATGGGCGGGACGTCTTCACGCGGTGGCTGGGCGCGTGGCTCTGCGCCCGTGGGCGGGGCGTCCTCACGTGGTGTCTGGGCGCATGGCTCTGTGCCCTGGTCAGGACAGGGTGTCCTTGAGCCGTGTCTGGGCGCGTGGCCCTGCGCCGTGGACAGGGCGTCCTCACGCGGTGTCTGGGCGCGTGGCTCTGCGCCGTGGGCGGGGCGTCCTCACGCGGTGTCTGGGCGCGTGGCTCTGCGCCGTGGGCGGGACGTTCTCACGCGGTGTCTGGGCGCGTGGCTCTGCGCCGTGGGCGGGGCGTCCTCACGCGGTGTCTGGGCGCGTGGCCCTGCGCCGTGGACAGGGCGTCCTCACGCGGTGTCTTGGCGCGTGGCTCTGCGCCGTGGACAGGGTGTCCTCACGCGGTGTCTGGGCGCGTGGCTCTGCGCCGTGGGCGGGACGTCCTCACGCGGTGTCTGGGCGCGTGGCTCTGCGCCGTGCGCGGGACGTCCTCACGCGGTGTCTGGGCGCGTGGCTCTGCGCCGTGGGCGGGACGTCCTCACGCGGTGTCTGGGCGCGTGGCTCTGCGCCCTAGGCGGGGCGTCCTCGCGCGGTGTCTGGGCGCGTGGCCCTGCGCCGTGGGCGGGGCGTCCTCACGTGGCATCTGCGCGTGGCTCTGCGCTGTGGGCGGGGCGTCCTCACGTGGTATCTGCGCGTGGCTCTGCGCTGTGGGCGGGGCGTCCTCACGTGGTATCTACGCGTGGCTCTGCGCTGTGGGCGGGGCGTCCTCACGTGGTGTCTGCGCCGTGGGCGGGGCGTCCTCACGTGGTATCTGCGCTTGGCCCTGCGCCGTGGGCGGGGCGCCCTCACGTGGTATCTGCGCGTGGTCCTGCTCCGTGGGCGGGGCGTCCTCGCGTGGTGTCTGGGCGTGGTCCTGCGCCGTGGGCGGGGCGTCCTCGCGCGGTGTCTGGGCGTGGTCCTGCGCCGTGGGCGGGGCGTCCTCGCGCGCTGCCTGCGGCTGTCCCCGGCGTGGTCACCTGGGCCCGCTGGCAGTGACCTTTCCTTTCAGGGACGGTCGTGGGTGTTGTCCTTTACACCGGCCGAGAACTACGGAGCGTCATGAATACCTCGAACCCCCGGAGTAAGGTAGGTGAGAGAAGGAGGGGTGTGTGTGTGTGTGTGTGTGTGTGTGTGTGTCTGGACACCGCACATGCTCGTGGTGGGTGCGTGGGGGGGGGCAGATTCAAAGGCCAGCAGCCGGGTGCCCGTCTGCCGAGCCTTCGGCCGAGGATGCTGACCCGTGCAGCCCCAAGGAGCGGGCGCCATCCCGGGCGCGGGGAGCCGGTGGTCTCGGGCCACCGCACCGGGCGGGGTTCAGGTCGGCGCGGTGCCCCGCACAGCTCAACACCGTGCTCAGTGCGGCGTTCCCGGGCCTCCACCTCTTTCTTCGTCTTGGTAAGTGCTTTGTGTGATCAGAGGCGCAGGCGCTGCGGCCTCTGTCCGCGCTCGGCGCGTCCGCCTGCCGTGCGTGGACGCGTCCCTGGTCAGGTCCCCGGCATTTCAGCTCCGGGCCTCCGCGGGCGAGGAAAGCGCGGGCTGGTGGCGCCTCAGCCTGGCTGACGCCACTTCACGTGGTTTGTTCTAGGTCCATCCACGTCTCAATCTTCTAAAGGTTTTTTTTTTTTTTGTCGGTCATGGGGCCTGAACTCTGGGCCTGGGCGCTGTCCCTCAGCTCTTCAGCTCAAGGCGAGCGCTCTACCACTTGAGCCATGGCACCACTTCCAGTTTCTGGAAGCTAAGAATTACAGACTTTCCTTCCCGGGCTGGCTTTGAACAGCCATCCTCAGATCTCAGCCTCCTGAGTAGCTAGGATGATAGGCGTGCGCCACCAGTGTCCGGCTTCAATCTTAAGCTTTAAGAAAAAGTCCCTACCAGGGCTTCTCAGAGGCCCCGGGAGCCCTGGGTTCTCAGATCAAAGCTATGGGATGGGTGCACCCCTGCCCTGCCTGTGTGGCAGTGGCTGGGTGGAGGATGAGCCTTTGGGCAGGCGTGGGTGGCACCGGGCCCCTGTAGACCGGCGTGCTTGTCCGCAGATTGGCCTGTTTGACTTGGAGGTGAACTGCCTCACGAAGATCCTGTTCGGCGCGCTGGTGGTGGTGTCGCTGGTCATGGTGGCACTGCAGCACTTTGCCGGCCGCTGGTACCTGCAGATCATCCGCTTCCTCCTCCTCTTTTCCAACATCATCCCCATCAGGTGAGCCGGGCAGCTGTGTGGGACGGGGCTCAGTGCCCCTGTGGCCTGGGGCTAGCCCTGTGTGCAGCGCAGAGGGGAGAGCTCACTGGCACAGGCCACACTCAGGCTGAGCCCCACTGCCACAAAACCAAACCAAATGAAAGACGGTCTGGAGCCCGGACCCTTGCAGAGAATGGGTGAGGCTCCGAGATCCATCCTCAGTTCCATAAAAGAGAGAGACAAAAAAGCCAAGCAGCGTGTCACACATAAATTTTCAGCACAGAAGTTACTTGTGTCCCGGTCCTGGCAGTGTGGTTAACCCCACATCCACTGCTGGGCCCTTGTGTCTGTTTCTCCACGGTAAATGATATGCATATGCATATGTGTATGTGTGTATGTGTGTGTTTTCTATGATGGTACTAGGTCTTGAGCACAGGGCCTGGGTGCTGTCCCTGAGGTTTTTTTTACTTAGGGCTGGTGCTCTACCACTTGAACTATAACTCCACTTCGGGCTTTTTGGTGGGTAATTGGAGATGAGTGTCATGGACTTTTCCACTTGGGCTGGCTTCAAACCATGATCCTCAGATCTCAGCCTCCAGAGTAGCTAGGATGAGAGATGTGGGTCACCAGCACCTGGCTTGATTGGTATTTATTAACCTAATACTACTTCCCCTGAAATTTCCAGGGCTAGTGCTGTCTCTCAGCTCTTCAGTTCAAGCTAGCACTCTACCATTGGAGCCACAGCACCATTTCTGGCTTTTTCTGCTTATGTGGGTGCTGAGGAATCGAGCCCAGGGCCTCATGCATGCAAGGCAAGCACCCTACCACTGAGCCACCTTCCCAGCCCCTGGTCTCTTCATCTTGTGTTGAGATCTCTTGCTGTTTGCGTATTTATCAGTTGCCAAAGAGTTTGTTCAGCCACATGACCTGTGCCAGGACTGTGCACTAACCAGCAGGCTCTGAGGAGATAAGCAATTCCTCTTTATTAATAGCAAATCTTTCTGGACTAATGCTAAGCAAAATTGTAGACTTTAAAGTTCTGTCTACATCTGGGTATGAATGGCTCACACCTGTAATCCTAGCTACTCAGGAGGTTAAGATCTGAGGATCATGATTTGAAGCCAGCCTGGGCAGGAAAGTGTGTGAGGCTCCATTAACCACCAAAAAGCCAGAAGTGGAGGCATGATTCAAGTAGTAGAGTGCCAGCTTTGAGTAAAAAAACTAAGGAGATACCCAGGCCCTGAGTTCATGTCTCATTCCTGGCACACACACACACCCAAAATGGACCAGGTATGGTGGCACCTACTTATATTTCTAGCACTCCCGAGGTAGAGATCGATGGATCGTGAATAAAAATATAGTGCCTTGGGGGGCCAGTAACTAAAAGAAAAAACGAAATGAGCTCAGCGTGCCCCGAGGGTGGCAGTGCGTGTGCCTCTGACAGGTGCCACATCCTCCCTGGCCTCACCTCAGCCCCTGCTGCTTGAGTGTCAGGACACATACGTGCTTAGACACCGTCTGTAGCTACGAGATGTCCAGGGGCTTTATGTGTGATGTCCGGTACTTGCCTGCTGTGGGCCTTATGTTCCATACCCGGTAACCTCTCTGTTCTGCTCGCCTATCTAGTTTGCGCGTGAACCTGGACATGGGCAAGATCGTGTACAGCTGGGTGATTCGCAGGGATTCAAAAATTCCGGGGACTGTGGTTCGCTCCAGCACGATCCCTGAGCAGCTGGGCAGGATTTCTTACTTACTCACAGACAAGACAGGTGAGCACCTCCTGGGGGGGGGGGGGGTGGGACAGAAGAGCAAGGACCAGGGTGCCAGACTCCATCTAAGCTGCTCTTGCCTGCCATTTAGTGGCTGCAGGGAGGAGGGAAGATATAGTAAGGATCCTGAGGGACTTGCAAAACATCAGGGAAAACCAGGAAGGAGAGGTTCTGGGAACATTCCAGACACGTCAGCATCAGGTTCCCAGTGCTCTCTGTAGAGCTTTGCCATTGGGGTGACTCTTCATCATCAAGCAGTGTTTCTTTCTGCTCTGGAAATCAGGCTTCTTCAAGATAGAATCTGATTGGCTTGTTGTGTATGATGTGTGATCCTCTTGGCCAATGGAATGGGTCAGGCCTTCTGATTGACAGCGCCTCTGGGCCACTCTGGGGAATGGGCATAGTTGTGTTCCTATAGCAACCTAGGATGCAGGACCCCTCCCTCTTGCTGTTTCAGCAGGAGCAGTACTAAATCTAGCATGCAGGGACTAAAACTCTCAGAAGATGGAGACTGTGGTTAGGTGTAGCAGGAGTGGACACCTGGGCTCGGAGCCAGGTTCCTTACCTGTCTTGTGTTTCAGGAACTTTGACCCAGAATGAAATGGTTTTCAAACGGCTACACCTGGGCACAGTGGCCTATGGCCTGGACTCCATGGATGAAGTGCAGAGCCATGTATTCAGTGTCTACACCCAGGTAAGGCCCATCTCCCTACCCAGAGCCATCCTGAACTTGAACTGTTGCACTGAGATGTAATCTGGCCACCCAAGCTCACCTTTGGCTTTTAGTATATGCATAGAATTGGACAGCCATCACCCAATCTAGATATTTTGTGTTCATCACCCCCTTTTTTGTGCTGGAACTGGGAGCTTGAACTCATGACCTGGGAGCTGCCCTTTTAACTTTTCCACAGGTGCCCACCCTTTCCCTCCTCACTCCCTCTCCCCCCACAACACCCTCCCCCCCAGCCTCAGAGACCACACCCTCCACCTCCTCCAGAGTCTCCGCAGCTGTCTGCTTTGCCACCTGCTCTTCTTATCACCATCCAGAGCTAATGGATCTGGAAAACCCACGCAGAGTATAGTCTGCTGGGGACTGCTGCCAGATAGGGCGTGGGAACCTGTGAGTGGGTGGTATTGGAAGCCTATGAATGTTTGGTTTTACTTTTTCTCAGGCTTGGAGCTAGGGCCGGGCTTACCCATGGGCTGCTTCTGAACACTCACGACATTTGCCACTTAGCACTCCTTTCTAATCTATTTCAACTCTGCAGTGGTGTGAAAGGCTCAGTTCATCATCATCGGCTCCCACCTGTCTCTCCCCTAGAAAAATTTCAGCCAGGCGCCAGTGGCTCACGCCTATCATCCTAGCTACTGAGGAGGCTGAGATCTGAGGATCACAGTTCAAAGCCAGCCTGGGCAGGAAAGCCCATGAGAATCTTACCTCCAGTGAACCACCAGAAAACCGGAAGTGGCGCTGTGGCTCAAGTGGTAGAGCGCTCGTCTTGAGCTAAAGAGCTGAGGGACAGCTCCCAGGCCCAGAGTTCAAGCCCCACTACTGACAAAAAAAAAAAAAAAAAAAAATCCAGGCCGGGCTCTGGTGGATCACGCCTGTCTATAATCCTAACTACTCAGAAGGCTGAGATCTGAGGATCACGGTTCAAAGCCAGCCCGGGCAGCAAAGTGAGACTCTTATCTCCAATAAACCACTAGAAAACTGGAAGTAGTGCTGTGCCATAAGCGGTAGAGTGCTTGCCTTGAGCTGAAGAGCACAAGAAAAGCGCCCAAGCCCAGAGTTCAAACCTCACGACCGGCCAACAACAACAACAAAAATCCAGAGCCAGTTGCCTCTCAGAAAGATGCTACTGGTAAACACTCAGTATTCCTTTTTTTGTTGGTCAGTCCTGGGGCCTGAACTCTGGGCCTGGGCGCTGTCCCTCAGCTCTTCAGCTCAAGGCAAGTGCTCTACCACTTGAGCCACAGCGCCACTTCCGGCTTTTTTCTTTTTGCTTATGTGGTGCTGAGGAATTGAACCCAGGGCCTCATGCATGCAAGGCAAACACTCTACCACTGAGCCACCTTCCCAGCCCCAAACCCTGAGCTTCTTTTGCTCAAAGCTAGGACTGTACCATTTGAGCCATAGCACGACTTCTGGCTTTTTCTTTTCTTTTTTTTCCCCCCAGGGCTGAGGACCGAACCTAGGGCCTTGTGCGCACCGGGCAGGCACCCTTCCGCTGAGCTAAACCCCCAGCCTCCACTTCTGGCTTTTTTTTTTTTTTTTTTTTTTGGGTCCGGTCATAGGGCCTGAACTCTGGGCCTGGGCGCTGTCCCTCAGCTCTTCAGCTCAAGGCGAGCGCTCTACCACTTGAGCCACAGTGCCACTTCCGGCTTTTTTCTTTTTGTTTATGTGGTAGTGGGAATCGAACCCAGGGCCTCAGGCATGCAAGGCAAGCACTCTACCACTGAGCCACCTTCCCAGCCCTCTGGCTTTTTCTATGTATGTGGTGCTGAGGAATTGAACCCAGAGCTTCATGCATGCTAGACAAATGCTCTGCCACAGCCACACTCCCAGCCCCACACCCTTGGTGTCTGAGGCAAGGTCTTCCTATGCAGCCTAGGCTGGCCTTGAGCTCAGTCCTTCAGCCTGTGCCTCCTAAGTGCTGGGATGAGAGGCGTACACCATCATGCTGCTCTCAGACCTACAGTTTGACAGGTGAACCAGGCTATTGGAAAGCCCAGAACAACGCTTTGAGCACAGAGGCCGGGAAGCAAGACTCAGGCTCACTTTCCAGATGCCACGATGTATTCTGGGGACCAAGATAGGGTCTGCAAGCTGGCTGCCCCCCAGGGTGCAAAATAGCTACTTAAATCATGCAAAGTGGGTGTCACCCCACGGCCTTGTCCAGGTTGACCCGGAGCACCACTGACCTCATAAAGTGAGCAGGTGGTTTTAAAAGACTCCACAGGATGGGCTGGGAAGGTGGCTCAGTGGTAGAGAGCTTGCCTTGCATGCCTGAGGCCCTGGGTTCAATTCCTCAGCACCACATACACAGAAAAAGCCAGAAGTGGCACTGTGGCTCAAGTGGTGGAGTTCTAGGCTTGAGCTGAAGAGCTGAGGGACAGCGCCCAGGCCCAGAGTTCAGGCCCCACGACTGGACCCCCCCCCCCCCCCCAAATAAAAAAGACTTCACAGGAAAACCTCACACGATTCATCCAAGGCCACGCAAGCAGGACGGAAATGAGCCTGTGTTACGAGGCAGCACCCCGCAGGGTGAGGCATTGTGGGGGCCTTGCCTTGGCTCCCTGTTTTTTTTTTTTTTTTGTCGGTCATGGGGCTTGAACTCTGGGCCTGGGCGCTGTCCCTCAGCTCTTCACTCAAGGCGAGCGCTCTACCACTTGAGCTACAGCGCCACTTCCGGTTTTCTGGTGGTTTATTGGAGATAGGAGTCTCACGGTCTCTCCTGCCCGGGCTGGCTTTGAACCACGATCCTCAGATCTCAGCCTCCTGAGTAGCTAGGATTACAGGCGTGAGCCACCAGCGCCCGGCTAACTCCCTGTTTTTTTAAAAAGAAGTAATTGAGGGCTGGGAAGGTGGCTCAGTGGTAGAGTGCTCGCCTGGCATGCGTGAAGCCCAGGGTTCGATTCCTCAGTACCACATACACAGAAAAAGCTGGAAGTGGCATTGTGGTTCAAGTGGTAGAGCGCTAGCCTTGAGCAAAGGAAGCTCAGGGACAGCTCCCAGGCCCTGAGTTTACGTCCTAGGACTGGAAAAAATGAGATAAGAGTTCTAAAGGCTGTGACTTCCACTCTTTGAAGAAAGTCTATAATTTCAGAATACTTTGGTACTGTAGAAACCTCTGGTTCTATGCTCTCCGGGGTCTCTTTCCCCATCCCTTAGCTCATGGCAAAACCTAGCTTGTTTTCTTTCTCTGGACTATACATTTCATGTAAACAGATCAAGTGTAAGCCTAGCTACTCAGGAGGCTGAGATCTAAGGATCTGGTTCGAAGTCAGTCTGAGTAGGAGAGTGTGAGACTCTAATCTCCAATTAACCAGCAAAAACTGGAAGTGGGGCTGTGGCTCATGTGGTAGAGTCCGCTCTCCTTGAGTGAAAAAAAGAAGGGCCCAGGCCCTGAGTTCAAGTCCTAGTACTGACCAAAAAGAAAAGAAAATCCTTCCTGCCATGCAGTGTCCAGGTCTTGAGAAGTGGCCCTGTGTGGGTCATGAACAAGAACCCAAGGCCTAATTTGCAGGCTGGCTGCTGTGGTGGCTGCCATCAACTCTCCATCCCGGCAGGCAGTGGGCATCTCCCTCCTCTTCCCTGTCTCCTGCTTTGGGTACCACCATGCTGACCTCCTGAGATGCTCTCCTGTTCTCCCTCCATCCCCCAGGGCACAAAGGGCCACCGTCCTGGCTGCTGCCAGCCCCCACATCTGTTTTAGTTTCCCATTGGTATTTTTTAAGTAAGACGAAATGTGTGTAGGTTAAAGGGCCGTGGGAGGAGTTGGAGGTTGAAGATAAACACTGGGCGTGTGAAGCTCTTCCAGATGGGCAGTGTGGCTGGAGAGAGCCAGGCCATGCTGCGTTGTGCATGGATCCCGGGGTCCAGATCAGAGTCTCGGCCATCCCCTGGGATCCCAGAGGAGCCTGGTATTTGACAATTACGAGAGACAGTGGTCAGCACCCTGCTTACACGTGCCCTGTCCGGAGGGAGCTAATGAGAAAGAGGAGCAGACATTGACTTAGCAGTGGCAGGAGTGCTTCCACTGAGGTGGGTCTCGTGTCCCCATTCCCCCGGCCGCCCCCCGCCCCCGCCCCCCCAGGCATGCTGGCTCCCTGATCGAATACGGGCCTTTTACAAGTCCTGTCAGCTGGGTGCTGGTGACTCACACCTGTAATCCCTGCTACTCAGGAGGTTGAGATCTGAGGACTACAGTTGGAAGCCAGTCCAGGCGCGTTCATGGGACTCTTAACCTCCAGTCTCACTAGCAAATAAGCTAGAAATGAAGTGTGGCTCAAGTGGTGGATCACCGGCCTTGGGTGGGAAAGCTTAGGGACAGCGCCCAGGCCTTGAGTTCAAGCCCCAGGACTGGCATGTGTGCATGCGCGCGCGCACACACGCACACACACACACACACACACACACACACACACACACAGTCTGTCCATGTGCTTCGCGTTGCTTACTTGGGGGTCTCACTCAGAATATAATCCTTGAGGGGTTGGGAAGGTGGCTCAGTGGTAGAGCTCTTGCCTTGCATGCCTGAGGCCCAGGGTTCAATTCCTCAGCACCACGTAATCAAAAAGAAAAAAGCCGGAAGTGGCGCTGTGGCTCAGGTGGTAGAGCGCTAGCCTTGAGCTGAAGAGCTGAGGGACAGCGCCCAGGCCCAGAGTTCAGGCCCCACAACTGGACCCCCCCCCCAAAAAAAAAAGAATATAATCCTTGAAGTTTGATGTCACCCCCATTTGAAAATCTGAACCAGAAGTCTGGTGGCTTTGCCAGATTGGCCTCTCTGTGTCGTTCCCCCCCATTGACCATGGCGATTCCCTGGTCAATCCCTGTGTCAGCCCTGAGCTCAGGTGTGACGGCACGCACCCTCAGGGCACCGTGTTCTCGCGTGGGTCACCACAGGCCAGCACAGAAGAGCTCTTGCTTCTGCCTTCCTGGCTGAGGGAGATTCACAAAGTCTTCAGGCCTCTTTAGAATTTTAAAGTGAATGTCTTCATAATTAAAAGCAGTTGACAAGAATGCTTCATTGAGCCAGAGCTCTTGTTTGTTCCTCTTAATTATTGTTACCACACAGTGCCCTTTGACCTGGAAGTGAAACTCATAGGCCCTTGACATCAGAGGTTAACAGACCAGGAAGCCAGGGCCCTGCGTCCCTGCAGTGACCAGAGTGACTTAGTAATTGTCTAATTACCTGAGGGGTTGAATGCTGCTACTAAAAATAGTACTGAAGAAATGAAAGTCATTCTCTCGTTTCTGGTAACCCATCTGTTCTCTATTTGGGGTGGCCTGGGACGCGGCTCTGGGGCCGTCCATGCACGCGGTCACCCCGCTTCTGCACTGCAGGGAAATGTGTTTCTAATGGAGTGCGGAGCCCGGCCGCTCTGTCGGCACGTCTAGCTTCCGGATTCAAGCTGTGGCGAGCCGTCCTTTGTCCAGAACAGTGATTTAAGATCTGAAACTGGCTGGGCATGGTGGCTCACGCCTGTAATCCCAGCTACTCAGGAGGCTGAGATCTGAGGATCACAGCTCAGGCAGAAAAGTCCACGAGACTCTTATCTCCAACTAGGCATCAAAATGTGGAAATGGAGCTATGGCTCAAGGAGTAGAACACCAGCCTTGAGCGAAAAAGCTAAGTAAGTGTCCAGGCCCTGCATTCAAGCCCCCCCCCCCCATCTGAAACTGACCTTTGGTAATTTAATAGTGTTTGTTTTGTTTTGGTTGGTTGTGGGGCTTGAACTCTGGTCTGGGCACTGTCCCTGAGCTCTTCAGCTCAACCGGCTAGTGCTCTACCACTTGAGCCACAGCGCCACTTCCGGTTTTCTGGTGGTTCACTGGAGATAAGAGTCTCATGGGCTTTCCTGCTCGGGCTGGTTTTGAACCACAGTCCTCAGATCTCAGCCTCCTGAGTAGCTAGGATGGCAGGTGTGAGCCACCAGCGCCCGGCGTGACATGTGCTGTTGATAATGGAAGGGAGGCTGATGTCAGTGGGGCGCCTGCTCCCCATCAGCCAGCTTCAGTTACTGGATTGTTCCTTCGCTCGGCATGTAGGCGTGGTGTGCCAGGCTCTGCCCTGGGCACTGGGAGTCGAGGGTTGAGAGCCCCACCCCCACCCAGGCAGCGAAGACCAAGGGTCTCGGGGACATGAAACCATGACTTGCCGTGGGGGGACGCAGAGCCGCCTGGGCCTTGAGCTTGAGCCAGCCAGCCCTGCAGAGCTCTGAGGCGCAGTGGGCGCAGCAAGGGCAAGGGCCCTGGGGCAGGAAGCGGCTTGGAAGAGGGCGCTGTGGGAGGCCGCCAGGCACCGACGGCTGGGGCTGCCTGGCGGGAAGCCCCTCCATAGACTGGCTGGCTTTCTTCCCTGTGTTCTTTTTTGGTCAGTCCTGAGGCTTGAACTCAGGGTCAGGCACAGTCCCCAAGCTGCTTTTGCTCAAGACGCTCTACCACTTTAGCCACAGCATCACCTCTGGCTTTTTTTCTGTGTCTGTGGTACTGAAGAATTGAACCCAGGGCCTCACGCATATGAGGCAAGCACTCTACCACTCAGCCACCGCATTCCAGCCCCACTTTCCAAGTGTTTCTGATGCCTTTGCTGGCCGACCCAGGGTTTCTGACTCCTGAGGGGGTCACTAAAACAGAGCCAGCCACCCCAGGGCCCTGAGGGGGTCACTGGAACAGGGCCAGCCACCCCAGGGCCTTGAGGGGGTCACTAGAACAGGGCCAGCCACCCCGGGGCCCTGAGGGGGTCACTGGAACAGGGCCAGCCGCCCCGGGGCCCTTCCGTGACTCCTCCCCAGACAGGATCACTGTCATTGGTCCGGGGCTCACGTTCCTCTTCAGTTTGCTTTTTCCTTTCCCGCGTGTGAAGGGCGTGGGTGTGGCAGGCCTGGCCGTGTGCGGGCTCGGGCAGGACCCACAGAGCTTCCGGGCTCTAATCGTGCCCCCCTGCTCCCCCCCAGCAATCGCAGGAGCCCCCGGCGCAGCGGGGCCCCGCGGTGGCCACCAAGGTGCGGCGCACCATGAGCAGCCGCGTGCATGAGGCGGTGAAGGCCATCGCGCTGTGCCACAACGTCACCCCCGCCTACGAGTCCAACGGCGCCACCGACCAGGCCGAGGCCGAGAAGCAGTACGAGGACTCGTGCCGTGTGTACCAGGCGTCCAGCCCAGACGAGGTGACTGCGCAGGCGCGGCGGGGCGGCGCCTCCCTGACCCAGGGCCGATGGCATGCCCAGCTCTCCCGGGGCCCCGAGGCCACGCTCGCCCAGCAGAAAAAATCCCCATAGTTCAGACTCTGAGGGAAGAGGAGCCGAGTCCCTTGTAGGCCCCTGTCCCTCGCGGAGAGCCTCCGGGGACAAAAGCATGTCCTCTTCTCTGCGCGTGCGCACAGCTCTGGGGTTGGCGCTCAAGGCGGGTGCTCTACCCTGGCTTTTTGGTGGTTCCTTAGAGATAAGAATCTCTGACTTTCCTGCCCAGGCTGGCTTTGAACCGTGATCCTCAGAGCCTCCTGAGTAGCTAGGCTGACAGGTGTGAGCCACCAGTGCCCTCTCGTCTAGTTTCTATGGTGACAGGAGTCCGGGTGGCACCCAGCGGGGATGTGTGTGGATACTGGACAGGTGACGTGTCCTTGGGTCCCCAGGGACAGTGGCTGCCTGTGCCCCCACTCCTGACCTCTGACCCCATCTTTCTCAGGTGGCCCTGGTCCAGTGGACGGAGAGCGTGGGTTTAACCCTGGTGGGCCGCGATCAGTCTTCCATGCAGCTGAGGACCCCTGGCGACCAGATCATGAACTTCACCATCCTGCAGATCTTCCCCTTCACCTACGAGAGCAAGCGCATGGGCATCATCGTGAGGGTGCGGGCTCTGGGGGTCTGGGGGGGGTGGTGTTCCTGTGTGAGAGGGGTCCTGTGGGGGGGCCCCTGGGTGCGTGGGGGCTCTGTATGGGGTAGCCCACTTTCCACGTGTCTGCAGTCCAGCCTAGCACACAGGAAGAAGTGGTTTGGGTCAGCAAGGAGCTCATGGTGACCAGAGATGCGGCGGTGCGGGGCTCTGCCAGCTCATCCGAGGCTGGGCATCCTCTGGTGCCCCCCCCCCCCCCCCCGCTAGCGTAGCTGGGTGCCCCCGCTCCTCCTTTGGTTGTGAAGGATTCTGGCCCTAGCGTGTGTGTGGTGTCTCTTGACGGTGGTCCAGGCGTCCCGAGGTGGAGGGGCTGGACCGGAAGTGATCGCAGTGACGCCTGTGTTTGCTGAAACCCAGCAGATGGGCGCCGGCGGCCTGCCGGCCCAGTTGCTCACAAACCTGTCCTTGGCAGAGCTCGGCCACCATTGGCATTTCTGTTCTGGTTGGCCCCGTTTCCAGGGCTTGAACTCAGGGCCTGGGCACTGTCCCTGAGCTGCTTTTGCTCAAGGCTAGTGCTCTACCACTTGAGCCACACTGCTATTTCTGGCCTTTTCTGTGTATGTGGTACTGAGGAATCGAACCCAGGGCTCCATGCATGCAAGGCAAGCACTGTACCACCGAGCCACCTTTCCACCAACGAGCAGAGTCTTTGGCTGCCTCTCCTTGCCCTGCCTGGGGGTCTCTTCGCCCGAGTCTTTGCCTGCAGTGCAGTCAGGGGAGGTGAGAGGAGGCAGGGTCTCTGGGACATGACGTGTGAATCTGTCTGAAGGAAGGAATAGGTGTCGCCCTTGGGCAGCTCCGTCACCCTGACCCACACCCCCATCCCACGTGCACCTCCTGCGTCCTGCAGTAATGAGGCGTCTGAGCAGGTGCCAGAGGGCGGACACCCCCCCCTCCCCCTCCCCCGCCCCAAGACTGGGACCAGACTTCCAGCCATGGCGCGGGCCTGGCCGACCCCGGAGTCCCCGGAGTTTATAGCGTGACCCAGCGCAGCATGGGAAAGACGTAAACTCGGGGTGAACTGGGGAGGGAAGTGACTCAGAGGAGAGATAGGGGGGCGGTGTTTGTGCTGGCCAGGGCCCCTCCATAGCAAAGGAAGCCCCGGGCCAGGCAGGCTTCCTGCAGCCCGGCAGTGGAGCACCATGCGGGGAGAGGAAAGGAGGCAAAAAAAGGGGGTGCTTTGATGTCGAGACCTCAAAGCTGCCTCCGTTCATCAGGCCCCCGTTGGGCACGGGGCGCAGGGAGCGCCCGCCCTAGCAACTGCGCTGAGTCAGCACGGCAGCCTGAAAGCTGGCCTTGAGCAGAGGTCACTCCAAGGTCATTTAAAAACCGGGGCCGCCATGCGGGGTGTCTGGGGCACCACCGCGTTCACATTCGCCCATCACTGTGTAGGAGTTCGTGGGATTTTCCAGAGTAGGCAGGTGTTGCTGGCCTATCTCCTGTCTCCTCATTTCTGGAATCTTCCAGGAATGGGAACCGGCCATCCGCCATTATTCCTCCAGCCTGGGCCCCGCTGTTGACGTGGGCAGCCTTGGTGGTGGCCGGCTCAGAGGCCGTCCAGAGGCCTTCCTGGAGGAAGGGGGCCAGGCTCGCTGGCCTCTGCCCACCCTCAGGGCTGGGACCCCCAACCCCATCTCCAGACACCGTCAAATGTGCCCGCTGGGGGTGCAGCACTGGGCCCCGTCATTCTCCACGCGCGCCGGGACCCCCGGGCACTGAGCCACGGAAGGCGCGTCTGTGTGGCTCCTGTGCCAAGCACTGTGCTCACTCGTTCACTCTGCCACGGATTCGTAGCACTGTGGGGCATGGGGGAACGGGCAAGAGGAAAGTAGCTGCTCAGTGCACACGCGGGAGCTGGGTTAGCCGGGCACGGGTCGGGGAGGCAGGGCTGGCAGTTTGCCCTCTGGGCCAGTCCTCTGAGGAAGGGGCTGGGGTGGTCCGTGTCAGCAGTTCTCTTGGGGTTGCTCTGGCCCCAGAAACCATTTGCCGGCATCTCCCTGTTGGGGGTGGGCTGTAGTTTGCCCAGCATCTCCTCATTGGGGCCGGGCCGTGTTTGCCGGCATGTTCCGGTTGGGGGCGGGCCCTAGGTCGGCAGTGCCACAGGCGGTCTAATGGCGTGGAGGCCGGGCCCAGACGGAAGAGTCTCGGCTTTACAAACCAAAGTGTTGCTTCTTTTTTTGATCTTGTTTTTCTGTGTTCCTTTTTAATCATCGAATAACTTTCCGGACGCTTTGAGTTTCCTTCTGCTCACCGTGGCCTTTGCCCCTCCCCACGCTGGCTTTTTATCTTTGGCCAAAGGAAAACACAACTGGCGTCTGCCCAGTGCCCTCTGCGTGGGTCAGGCCTGGAAAGTGGGTGGAGGGGGGGAGAGGGGAGGAAGGGCAAGCGGAGGGGGAGAGGGCATCCCCTCCATGGCTCACGTCGCCCTCCTCCTCTAGGACGAGTCCTCTGGAGAAATCACCTTCTACATGAAGGGGGCGGATGTGGTGATGGCCGGCATTGTGCAGTACAACGACTGGCTGGAGGAGGAGGTGAGGCGGGCGTGGTGGTGTGTGTGTGTGTGTGTGTGTGTGTGTGTGTGTGGCACAAGGGCTGGGCCCAGCCCCCCCCAGCCTGGTCTCATCTGCCGCCTCTCCCGGGGCGGGGGGGACCCCGGCTCACCCTGGCAGGTGCGTGTGGGGTGACGGAGCAGGGCATTCCAGGCAGCTCCTGGGTCTGTGGCAGGTCCGTGGCCGGGAGGCCCGGCTGTGGGGCCCGCCCTGGTCAGTCATAGCGCAGCTGCGGCACGGGCGTGCGAGCCAAGCGCCCACGGGGGCCGGGCACGCGGGCGTGTGGCACAGGCTGGGGCCGTTGGTCTGAGGGGACGCCCACGGCGTGTTCAACCTGCTGGCGGTTCCCGGGCCAGGGCTGCATCCTGCCAGCCATGACCCTGCGTGTGGCCCGCGGCCAGCTTCCACGCCGAGCCCGCACTCTGTGTGTGTGTGTGTGTGTGTGTGAAATCTCGCTGAGCGTCCACAGCCCACCCTCTCAGAATCGGGCTCAGGCCGGGGCGCTGGGCAGCCCCCGCGTGCCCCGCCTCGAGGCCGGGGCCAGGGCTGCGGTTGTGGGGGGAAGCAGGCCACTTCGGGGTCCACGGGGCTCCCTGCTGACCTCTCTGTGCTCGCAGTGCGGCAACATGGCCCGGGAAGGGCTGCGGGTGCTCGTGGTGGCCAAGAAGTCTCTCACCGAGGAGCAGTACCAGGACTTCGAGGTGAGCTCGCCGCCCGGGCCCCCCTCCCTGACACGGCGCCCACAGGCTCCCCTCTGCTCCCCACCCTGGTGCCTGCCACCATAGCCACGGCAGCCTCCCCAGGGCCGCAGGGCCTTTGCACTGGCTGTTGCCTCTGCCTGGAACGCATGTGCTCCATAGCTCCTTCTCTGTTAAACGCTGCCACCTCCAGGAAGTCTTCCTGGAGTGCCAGGGCTTCTACCTCCCTCACCCATTAACCTTGTGTGTCACCGCTCTACAGACCCTCGCTTACACTGTAGCCTTCATCTCGTTCCCCTCCTGCCTGGAGGAAGATGCTTTTGAGGGCACGCCATCTGGGATTTTTTCTTTGGCCAGTCCTGGGGCCTGAACTCAGTGCCTGGGCACTGTTCCTGAGCTGCTTTTTACCCCTTGAGCCACAGCACCACCTCCGGCTTTTTCTGTGTCTGTGGAACCCAGGGCTTCGTGCATGCGAGGCGAGCACTCTACACCGAGCCACCTTCCCGGCCCCTGGGACAATGGACAGCATCAGTGTCCCGCCGCTCTGGTTGTGAGCTGGACAGATGCTGGTCCCGGGCCCGCTGCTTGCTCTCCATCCCCGGGCTCGGACCCCGGGAAGGCCTGTCCTTCCTCTCTGCCGCGTGCCTTGTGTCTGGCATCGAGCTGACAGCACGAGGCAGGGGTGGGCCTGGGGAGAGCTGGCAGGCGGCCTGCTGAGTCTTCAGAGGAGCGGTGCCGGGGTTTTGCTTGCTTGGTGCGCGGCCTCGTGAGATGTGCAGGGCCTTGGGCCACGCAATCCGCCCCCAGTCCCCGCGCCAGCGCGGGGAGCCAGTGGCGGGGGACTGGTGGGCAGCGCCCCAGCTGGCCCCTGGGAGGCCGGGCCCAGCCCCCCGCGGCCACGTGTCCTTGTGCCCGCAGGCCCGCTACGTGCAGGCCAAGCTGAGCGTGTATGACCGCTCCCTCAAAGTGGCCACGGTGATCGAGAGCCTGGAGATGGAGATGGAGCTGCTGTGCCTGACGGGCGTGGAGGACCAGCTGCAGGCCGACGTGCGGCCCACGCTGGAGACGCTGCGCAACGCGGGCATCAAGGTAGGGCTCGGACAGACGGACGGAGCTCGGCAGTGGAGCGGACAGCTCTAGCGGAGCCAGGCAGGGCCTGCGTCCCGGTGCCCCTTATTACAATTCGGCCACCCGCCTGCGGTGATGTGGCCAAGTAAGGCAGGGACCACCCACCCTCCCGCCCAGCCGTGGGCCTGTGCTGAGAGGCGGCCAGTTTCCATTTCCTGCATCTGGAGGGGAAGAGCCAGTAGTTTCTTCTTGTGGGGTTTAGATTCCCTCCTCTCCCCTCCTGTGCCCTCCTTCCCTTCCCCTCCCCCTCCCTCTCTTCCCCTCCGCCTTCCCTTCCCCTCCTCTTCTTTTGTGGTCTTTGGGATGAACCCAGGCGCCCCCCTCCCCCCCACTTGCTAGGCAGGTGCGCTGCTCCAGCACTGTAACCCGAGGCCACCGGCAGAGGGCGCTGGAGAGCCGGGCTCCGTCCCAGGAAACCCTGAGGCAGGACGGGAGGCTGGGGGAATTTTCGTGGGGGCAGCACAGAGCACGCGCGCAGGCCCGTGTGTCACCACCCCGTACAATGGAGGGCTGTCCTCGTTTGGCAGGGCATGGCAACGCACGCCTGCAGCTCCTGCCCTCGGTTATCCTGAAGGCAAACGCATCAGACAGGGAGCAGCGGAGGAAGCCCTGGGTCCCTCAGTGGCCAGGCTTGCTTCGGCAGCTGACCCTGGCCCTTCCCTGCTGGGCACAGGGAGGAACAAAACATTGACAAAGGAGACAGAGCAGGACGCGATTCCTGCTGGGCTCCGAAGGGCCACATCTGGGGCTTGGTTAGGACAAGAGCCTGCTGTGTGGCTTTGGATGGGTCACCTGCCCTCTCTGGGCCCAGGGCAGGGCAGGACAGGATGATCTGTCCCCCAGCTGGGTCTCCTGGCTCGGTTACAGGTGGGGAGCTTGTCCTGGGCGTCAAGGAAGTGGCTGGTGTCTCATCCACACAGCCTTTCCCTCCCTCTAGTTATTTATTGTCTTAAGAAAAGGGTCAGGGCGGAGTGGGGGGCGGGCAGGCACAGGGTCCAAGCCCTCAGCCCCTGGTGTCTCCTGAGCGGGTGGTGAGCCACTGGGCCCCGTGGGGAGGGGGGCGTGGGATAGTGGGCAAATCCAGCTGTGTGTTCTGGAGAGCTCGGTGGCTCTGTGAAACAGGCCAGCCCCCAAACTCGACCCTCAGGGCGCCCCCTTCCCTGCTGGCCCCCAGGTGTGGATGCTGACGGGGGACAAGCTGGAGACGGCCACCTGCACAGCCAAGAACGCGCACCTGGTGACCCGGAACCAAGACATCCACGTTTTCCAGCTGGTAGCGCGCTTGCTGGGCCGCGGGGCGGGGTGGGAGCTGGGGTGTGTGTGTGTGTTCTGTAACCCCGTGAACCCTGTGTGGGTCCCCAAAGAGGGCGGGGAAGCCAGGGGCCCTCTAACGAAGAGAGGGCTGGGCCCAAAAGACCCTGTGCCAATCCTGGGGCCTGAGCTCGGGGCTGGCGCTTTGCCGCGTGAGCCTCAGCCCCACTTTCCACCTCGTGCGGGCTCACCTTGGATGTGTCCACCTGGGCCGCTTCTAAGTGAGATCCGCAGAGCTCAGCCTCCTGAGCTGGGCTTACAGGCGTGAGCTGCAGGCCCTGCCCGGCTTCAGTGCGGCCCCCCGTGCCGCTCAGCCAGACCGGTTTCCCAGGGGAAAAGCCAGAGCTGTGGGTCACCCGCCCGCAGGGGCGCGGGAGTGAAGGTGGACGGTCCACAGCCGGGGCTGCACCAGCACCCGGCACGGCACAGGGGGCCTTGGGTCTGGCCGGCTCTCCAACCCCCCACCCACCCCAGCGAACAGGACCTGCGCAGGCCGGGGCTGGAGGGGGGGGGAGGCTGGGTCTGGGCCGGGGCCTCCGGGAAAGCCAGGGAGCGAGGCTGGTGCCACTGTGTCCCTTCCAGGTGACCAACCGCGGGGGCGCCCACCTGGAGCTGAACGCCTTCCGCCGGAAGCACGACTGCGCCCTGGTCATCTCGGGGGACTCCCTGGAGGTGGGCGCGGCCCGGCGGGGGCTGCGGGCTTGGCTGCGGGCTGCGGGCGGCCAGGGGGCTCCCTGGAGGTGGGCGCGGCCCGGCGGGGGCTGCGGGCGGCCGGGGGACTCCCTGGAGGTGGGCGCGGCCCGGCGGGGGCTGCGGGCATGGCTGGCGGGGGGCCGGGGGACTCCCTGGAGGTGGGCGCGGCCCGGCGGGGGCTGCGGGGGGCCGGGGGGCTGCGGCCGGGGCTCACCCCCCTGCCGGCCCCGCCCGTCCCCAGGTGTGCCTCAAATACTACGAGTACGAGTTCATGGAGCTCGCGTGTCAGTGTCCGGCCGTGGTGTGCTGCCGCTGCGCGCCCACGCAGAAGGCGCAGATCGTGCGTCTGCTCCAGGAGCGCACGGGGAAGCTCACCTGCGCAGTGGGTAGGCGCCGCCGGCCGGGGGCTGCCGTGTGGGCCGGGGGGGGGGGGGGGGGGGGGGGGGTCCTGGAGGGGTGTAACTGGGTTTGGCAGCTGCGCTGCTCAGATTTCCGGGCCGTTCACTGGACGTCACGTGTTTTGCCCCTGGTGGTGGTGGTGGTTTTCTATTGGGGTCATCAAGGGACGGGAGCAGACCTAGGTTCAAATCTCACCTGGTGTTTCCTGGCTGGGTACCCCTCTGCTCCGCTGCAGAAGGGGGTGGCGTGGGGGGCGGGGAGGGGGCGATCTGCCCTGGCCTCTTGAGCGAGGCTGTGGCGTACCTGTGTCCGGCTGTGGCGCCCGAGCCAGCGAGTGGCCTCTGACACGTGAACCGTGCCCGCCCGGCAGGTGACGGAGGCAACGACGTCAGCATGATCCAGGAGGCCGACTGCGGCGTGGGTGTGGAGGGAAAGGTGAGCCTGGCCTCCCCCAGCCTCCCCCGGCCTCCCCTGCTTCCCTGGCCTCCCCCGGCCTCCCTGCTTCCCCTGCCTCCCCCAGCCTCCCTGCTTCCCCTGCCTCCCCTGGCCTCCCCCCCGGCCTTGCTCAGCTGTACCACCCTGTGCCCTGCAGCAAGCACTGGAGCACTAGCCTCAGCCACTGTAGCTTGTTAAAGTTTGTGTGTTAGAGAATTTTTCTGTTGTTTCCACTCATAACTAATCTCATTATTGGTCACTGTGTGTGTGTGTGTGTGGGTGGGTGGGTGTGTGTGTGTGTGAGAGAGAGAGAGAGAGAATTTTTCTGTTTCCACTCATGACTAATCTCATTATTGGTCACTGTGTGTGTGTGTGTGTGTGTGTGTGTGTGTGTGTGTGTGTGTGTGTGTGTGTACACCAAGGCCCCAAGCAAGGACTGAGGCTTCTGCCTGTAGGTTTTGTTGCCCATCTTTATGAATCTGAGGAGTCCACGGGTGGTCCTCCTCTTCCTCCTCCTCTCCTCCTCTCCTCTCCTCCCCTCTCCCCTCCTCCCCTCCTCCCTTCGTCCTCCTCCTTCCCCCTCTTCTGTGCCTGTACTGGGGCTTGAACTCAGGGCTTCACACTCTTGCTTAGCTTTGTCACTCAAAACTAGCCCTCTATCACTTGAGCTACTCTTCTACTTCTGTTATTTTGCTGGTTAATGGAAGATAAGAGGCTCTTTCATGCCTGGGCTGGCTTCAAACATTGATCTCAGACCTCAGCCTCCTGAGCAGCTGGGATTACAGAGTCTCAGCTAGGGGTCTTCTTTTTCCTTTCCCATGATTCTTGGCTAAGTGACAATTATGTGAAGTTACAGAGGCAAATAGTTCTCTCTCTCTCCCTCTTCAGTATTAGAATTTGAACTTAGGGCTAACAAAGCACTCTACTACTTGAGCCACGTCCCAGCTCTTTTTTTTTTTTTTTTGCTCAGGGTTGGCCTTAGACCCTTAGACTCCTTTCTACTCACAGCTTCCTGGATAAGCTTATTGTTTGAAACAAGGTTTCACCGATTGCCTTCCCAGCTGGCTTTGAGCCTCATCTTGATTCCCAAGTAGCTGAAATTACAGGTGTGAGCCACCTCACCCAGTTGGTGTACATGCACACACACACACACACACTTTCTTTCTTTCTTCCTTCCTTCCTTCCTTTCTTTCTTTCTTTCTCAGTTGTGGGTCTTGAACTCAGGGCCTGGGTGCTGTCCCTGAGCTCTTTAGCTCAAAGCTAGCACTCTACCACTTTGAGCCACAGCATCACTTCTTTTTTTTTAATTGGAGATAAGAATCTCATAGAGACTTTTCTGCCTAGGCTGGCTTCAAACCGCGATCCTCAGATCTCAGCCTCCAGACAGGTATGAGCTACTTTGCCTGGTTGGGAAATGCTCCTGAGTGAAAGATTGTGTCTGAAATCTGCACATTCCTTGAATGTAAAATTTAAGAAGCGTGTTTAAGTTTAATAGAAAATTTTTCACAAGTTCCTGTATAAAGCTAAAACATTCACATTCCCCTTTTGTTAAAAACTGCATTCTGATCCCTTTGATCATTTGTTTTTTCACGTGAAAGGAGTAAGTAGCCACCATTAAAGATATAAAAGTAGCTGGTCATCAGCAGTGGCTCATGCCTGTCATCCTAGCTACTCAGGAGCCTAAAATCTGAGGATCATGGTACAAAACCAGCCCAGGCAGGAAAGTCTATGAGACTCTTACCTCCAATTAACTACCAAAAAGCTGGAAATGGTTCTGTGGCTTAAACTGGTAGAGCACTAGCCTTGAGCAAGAGCAAGTTCAAAAACAGCGCTGAGGCCCTGAGTTCAAGCCCCAGGGCTGTCACACACGCACAAAAAGAAAATTCATCCCTTGTTTCAGTGGCATGAAGCTACTATGCTGGATTTCCTTCTGGGCTTTCTCTGTGTGTGTTACTGGTTAGGAGTGTGCATGTACTACTTATATACAGACTGTATAGACATCCATATAATTACCCTGTAGAATTTTAAATTAAAAACACACTGCATTTCATTATGCAGCCTGCCTTCATCGGCCACGCACAGCCATCTTTCCTTGCCTTCTCCCTTAGCTTTTATTCCCAAAGCTGTGGTGGGATAGGGATGGTGAAGTCATGGCTGCCTCCCTGCCCTTGGACCCCAGCTGCAAACACCTGCCACTCCCCCTCCCTTCCCGGGAATCAGTTGAGAGTACGGGCACACAGGATGTGATCCTGAATCCTGTAGCACTCACCGCAGATGCTGCCCTGGTGGACGGGCACAGCTCCGCTCCCGCTGTGCAGGGAGGGGCTTTGCTTCAGGAAAGGGCCCCAGGAAACAATCAAGGTCCAGGGATTCCATTTATTAGTGTGTTTTGTGTTTCTTTCATCTTCTTTTGTGTGTGTGTGTGTTTCTTTCATCTTCTTTAACGTAAAACACCCCTCTCTCTCTCTCTCTCTCTCTACCTCTCTCATTTGGAGGTGTTTGTTCTTCATGCCATTGAGGCATTGGGAAGTTCTAGCGTGTTCCACAGTGTGAGCTGCTGGGCTGATCTGATGTCCCCTCTGTGATGTACCCCGGAGGGGGCAGTTGTCTGCCCTGTGGGGCCCATCAGGAGGTGCCGTGGTCCTCGTTGTCCATCTGTCCCTTACCCTGAAGCCGAGGGAGGTCCGAGGCATGGCTGCACTACAAGTTACACTCGGAGTGTGCAGAACAGTTGGTCCGACAGGCTCTTTCCCTCTTAGGTCTGACCTTGTAGATGTGAAGGTCACGGCTGCGCTCTCACTCCTCCGGGGCCGCCCCGGGGCTCAGTGCTGGCGCCCTGGCTGCACCTGCCGCTGTTTATTTAAATTCCTCCTTTTAAGTCAGAGTTGGAAACCATGGACGGCTTTGTTGAATTTCTGAGATCTCCTCACCAGTCTTGTCTTTCCCATGACGAATGCGCGTGCGCGCTGACTGCGGGGCGCTGACCTGCGGGGCGCTGTCGCGCCGTCTCCTTGGTTTAGGAAGGGAAGCAAGCCTCGCTGGCCGCCGACTTCTCCATCACGCAGTTCAAGCACCTCGGCCGGCTGCTCATGGTGCACGGGCGGAACAGCTACAAGCGCTCGGCGGCCCTCAGCCAGTTCGTGATCCACCGGAGCCTCTGCATCAGCACCATGCAGGTGGGCGCGAGGGAGCGGGCCTGGGGGTGGGGCTGTGTGCAGGGGCGGGGCCTGTGGTGAGGGGAGGGGCTGCGTGCACGGGCGGGGCCTATGGTGAGGGGGCGGGGCAGCAGGGCTACAGGGGGCCTTGGGGGCAGGGTTGTGGACAGGGGCGGGGCCTATGGTGAGGGGGCGGGGGCGGGGCCGCAGGGCTACAGTGGAGCCTGGGGGCGGGGCTGCAGGCAGGGGCGGAGCCTCGAGCGGGGCAGCGGGTACAGTGGGGCCTTGGGGGCGGGGCCGCAGGGCTACAGTGGAGCCTGGGGGCGGGGCCGCAGGGCTACAGTGGGGTTTTCGGGGCGGGGTTGTGGGCAGGGGCAGGGCCTAAGGTGATGGGGCAGAGCCACAGGGCCACAGTACCACAGTGGGGCCTGGGGCAGGGCTGCTGCCTGGGGCCGGCGTGGGCTTCCGGGGCGGGGCCTTGGGGGCGGGGCTGGGGCCACACCTCCACCCAGGCGCACTGCTCACCTGGGCTTCATGCCCTGGAGACGCCACGCTCCTGCCTGACATCCGGGCCCGTCAGTCCGTCTCTTGGCACCCTTCCTGCCACCTGGAGTGACACAAGTCCTGGCAGGGCAGCGGCCGGCGCTGCACGGGGAGGCGGGGTCACTGTTGGCCCTGGGCCGTGGCTCCGCCCCGCCGCTCCCGCCCCGGCAGACACGGTGCCCGCTGTGCCCTGGCGCCGCCGGCAGCAGGCTGAGGCCGCGTGCGTGTCCACAACACGCTGAGCGCCCGGCCGCAAGCCGGGACCTGTGCAGTCCGCCAGCGCAGCCTCACCACAGGAGACAGGGTCGGGGCCTAGAAACCAGCTTTAGGGGCTTCAGTGCTGGGGGCACTGTCACTACCACCACCATCACCACTGTCACCACCATCATCAACACCGCCACCATCATCATCACCACTGCCCCCACCATCATCATCACCACTGCCCCCACCATCACCACTACCACCATCACCACCCTCACCACCACCACCACCACCACCACCACCAGTCATCATCACCACCACCACCACTGTCACCACCACCACCACCACTGTCACCACCACCATCATCATTATCACCACCACCACCACCACTGTCACCACCACTGTCACCACCACCATCATCACCACCATCATCACCACCACTACCACCACCATCACCATCATCACCACCACCATCACCACTACCACCACCATCACCACCGCCACCATCACTACCAACATCAACACCACTACAACACCATCATCACTGCAAGGTATATTAAATAGGTAGGTTTCATTAGGTAGCCAATGAAGAGAACACTGTGTGAATCAGGCAGGAGAAGAAGTTTATTTACCGAACCAATATTTCCATCGCTATCACTACCATCACCACATCAGCACCACCATCATTCTCATCAGCACTACCACCATCATCACCACCACCACCACCACCATGGCCCTCCCTCACAGCAGGTTGGATCAGATGTCAACCTAGAGGGTATTGGCGCCTGCAGGGGGTTGTGGACTCACAGGTGAAAGGCAGGCCGCCTGGCGCACAGACCTGCCCTCCGCTGGCCTCCCTGGGTCTGCAGAGGCTGTGGGTTAAGGCCTATTGCGTCTGTGAGTGGAACACGCATCAGCCCACGCTGACCTAATTCACCAAGTGGGCTGGTGATGCTATGGCTTCAATCACGTGTGTGTGTGTGTGTGTGTGTGTGTGTGTGTGTGTGTGTGTGTGTGTGTTGAAGGGAGGGTGGGCTCCCCTGGCATGCATCAATGCCACTTCTGCTAGATCTGCGCATCTCTGTCAGTATCTACTCAAGGGGAATGTTCTGGGGTTTGGTGCTCTGGGGCTGTGGAGACGCTTTACCCCATCCACAGCACTGGAAGGCTCAGACCCACAGGACCCTGTGTGTTTTTACTACGCTTGTCCCAAAGAAGCCTCTGTGGTCGGCCTGGCCCTGTGCGGAGAGCGCTTAGTTTTTTGTTTTTGTTTTTTTGCCAGTCCTGGGGCTTGAACTCAGAGCTGGGCTCTGTCCCCAACTTTTTTTTTCCACTTCCAGCTTTTTGGTAGTTAACTGGAGATAAGAATCTCACTGAAAGCCAGGTGGTGGTGGCTCATGCCTATCATCCTAGCTACTCCAGAAGCTGAGATCTGAGGATCATGGTTCAAAGCTAGCCCAGGCAAGGAAAGTCTGTGAGACTCTTACCTTCAGTTAACCACCAGAAAACCAGAAGTGGCTCAAGTGGTAGAGCGCTCGCCTTGAGCTGAAGAGCTGATGGACAGAGCCCAGGCCCAGAGTTCAAGCCCCATGACTGACAAAAAAAAAGTCTCACCGACCTTCCTGAGGAGGCTGGCTTTAAACTGGGATCCTCAGAGGAGCTGGGGCTGTAGGCAGGAGCCATGAACCTGGCTCCTCTTCTCTGCGTTAGTCTTGTGTAGAAGTCGCCTGTCTTTGCTCCTTTAAAACTTGCCCCCATTTCCAAACCATCCGGTCCAAGAAGCGCAGCCTTGTGTCCCATCCCAGCTCCAGGGTAGCTGGTATGCACACGCTGGCGCTCTTTCCCAGCCGGGTGCCTGCCGGGTGCAGCCGGGAGAGGCAGTGGTCAGTAGCTCGTCCTGTGCAGCCGCCCCGCCCAGCTGTCCCTGCGGTCCCCTCTACACAGAGCTAAGCCTTCCTGGCTTCATGGCACGGGCTGTGTGGTCTTGGCACGCCCCTGGCTCTCTCTGGCCCTCTTTTCTCCCATGAGCAGGGGAGCAGTGCGTCCCTGGAGCTCAGGCACACAGCCCTGGTCCTGTGAGGGGCTGGGTGTGTGGCAGGCCCCGCGTGGTGACCCTCGGTGACGCTCCTTCTCCTCGGCCCAGGCTGTCTTCTCCTCCGTGTTCTACTTCGCGTCCGTGCCGCTCTACCAAGGCTTCCTGATCATCGGGTAAGGAGACCCCCACACACCCTCCCTGCTTCACGAGGTACCCCAAAATGCCAGCAGAAGGAGAAACAGCACTGACCCAGGCCCCTAGGGCCTAAAGCATCCTTGAATGCATGACGATCTGAGCACCCCTCTCCCCCCCACATTGGAAGGGGAAGAAGCTTGGGCTCCCTGGCCATAGCTGAGCCAGGAGAAAGGCAGATCTAGCTTCCCGCTGGGCGCCATGGTAACAGGAAGGGTGTATCCCTTGATATGAGTGTCCCCTAACGAAGCCTCCCATCTGCCCTGGCTTGGAACCTTTGACCTTTGCAGACAGCATCCAGGCTTGAATTACCCAGGCAGTAGCACTGGGTCACTCCAAGCTCTAGACCCAGAGGAACCCGCTTCTACTTACAAAGACAGCTCTATGGGGGAGTCTTGTCAAGTCCTCTTACCGTTCTTTGCTGCTGGCTCAGCCCAAGGATGCACCCAGGATTCTTGGTAGAGTAGAAGAACATGCTAGAATATAATGCAGGGTTCTCTGAGCTGGTCCTTGTGGCCTTCTGGGACTTCCTCAGCCTCAGCACACTGCCTGTCCCCTGTGTAGCCACATGCTAACCCCAGGGCCTTTGCACTAACTACTGCTACTGCCTGGTGTGCTCTTCCCCAGGTATGGGCATGGCTGCTCCTCTGTGGGTGCCTGCTCATGTGTTCCACCCCAGGGCTGCCCAAGATGCCCACCTCAGGTGTAGGCACACGAGTGTGCACATACACACCCCTCCCCATTGTGTTTTCCTGTGGGGCCCTCAGCTGTGACACACATGGTCTCCATTTCCCTGTGACTCGGGGCTCCAGAGCGGGGCAGATGCCTGGGCTGGCTTCACCTCCCAGGCCTGGCCCGGAGGGGCGAGCGGGCGCCGAGGCCGGCGGAGCTGTCTCGCTGTCTCGCTGTCTCACTGTCTCACTGTGGCCTCGCTGACTCCAGGTACTCCACCATCTACACCATGTTCCCCGTCTTCTCTCTGGTTCTGGACAAGGATGTCAAGTCGGAAGTGGCCATGCTGTACCCCGAGCTCTACAAGGACCTCCTCAAGGTTCGGGGGTTCGGGCCCTCTCCCTCCCTCCCTCCCTCCCTCCTTCCTGCCTCCCTCCCTTTCCTTTCCCTCCCTCTGACCCCCCTTGTATTCAGTCTCCCCACCTCTGGCTTGCTACTTCGGGAGGGACAGCATGGGGTTCTGTACATTTTTCCTAAAGCGGTAACGTTCCTTGTAAAGGACATGGAAGAACGCAGTAATAAGCCAACTGAAAATAACCAGTCACTTTCAGAAAGCCTGACTACTCTGTTTTGAGACGCAGTGATGTCGGCCCCTGGAAGTGGTCCCCGCACTTCTGGAGTGCGCATGTGCTGGGCTTCACAGGCCCATACTTCTAGAGTGCGCATGTGCCGGGCTTCGTGGTCCCACACTTGTGGAGTGCGCATGTGCTAGACTCCGCAGCCCCGCGCTTCTGGAGTGCGCATGTGCTAGGCTCCGCAGCCCCGCGCTTCTGGAGTGCGCATGTGCTAGGCTCCGCAGCCCCGCGCTTCTGGAGTGCGCATGTGCTAGGCTCCGCAGCCCCGCGCTTCTGGAGTGCGCATGTGCTAGGCTCCGCAGCCCCGCGCTTCTGGAGTACGCATGTGCCCGGCTCACGCTTCCCCTGATCTATGGGGCACGGTTTCCCAAAGTGGCGGACGTGAGTCTCCCACCCTGGCGGCCTCCTCAGGAGGCTGCGGCGCCTGCCCTGGCCCAGCCCCTTCTTGCGTGGCCCGTGGGAGCGAACGGGATCCGACGGCCCTGGCCACGCGTGCTCACCGCCCCGTCCTGCCGTCTCCCCTAGGGACGGCCGTTGTCCTACAAGACGTTCCTGATCTGGGTTCTAATTAGCATCTACCAAGGTAAGGAGGGCGTCAGCCCGCGCTGACCGCGGGGCCGGGGGGAGCCCGAGCCTCGGTGGCGCGGGCGCGGCGGTGGGACAGGCGTCCTGTGCGCGGGGTGTGTGCGCAGGCGCGCGCACGGCGCTGTGCACGCACATGCACACGGGGCCGCGCACGCTGTGTGTACACTCGCGTGTGGATCTCCCAGGGTGGATGAGTGAGAGGCGAATATAACAAACGCAGGGCCAGGTGTGGGGCCTGCGCCTGTCATCCTTGCTACCCAGGAGGCTGGGATCTGAGGGTCGAGGTCAAAGCCAGCCCGGGCAGGAAGGTCCGTGAGACTCTAACCTCCATTTAACCACTCCAAAGCCGGAAGTGGCGCTGTGCCTCAAGTGGTAGAGTGCCAGCCTTGAGCACAAGAGGCCCAGGGACGGCGCCCTGGCCCTGAGTTCGAGCCCCACAACCAACAACAACAAAAGCCAAATGTGGGCTCAGAATCTTCAACCCAAAACACTCCAAAATTTAAAAGTTGTTGATGTCACAAGCACAAAATTCAGGTACTCACAGGATGGTCAGAAGGAAAACGCAGGTGTGCTAAAGCTCCATGTACCATGTTATCTTCAGGAGAGTGCGCGGGGTGTGCAGGAAGCTAGGGAGTTCCATCCCTGGGACCCTCATGATGCACATGCAGACAGAGCTGGGTGTGGTGGCACCTGCCTGTAATCCCAGCACTCAGGAGGTGGAGGCAGGAAGATGGAGACTTCCAGGCTAGCCTAGGTGACATGGACACATTCTCAATCAAGAAATAGCTCCTAATCAAAACCACTTGTGGCCCCAGCCTCTGTGATGAGGGATCTTAGGCCTTTAGAGATGGACACATGCTGAAGTATGGGACGCAGCTGCACTGGCCGGTCCCATCCTCGTCACCTGCAGGAACAGCTTCCTCAGATGAATAACAGCCTTCGATTGTGCTTATGGCTGCCTGGCTTCTTTGAGCATTCCTGTTTCCTGCGTTGGTTATGCACCTCCGCCTCTGTATGCCAGAGGGATCCCACGTTGACAAGTAAACATGCACATTTGGGGTCTTCTCCACAGTGTTTGCCAGTGTGTGAGGCAGTCCAACGTCTAGGGACCCGCTGGGTGCCGGAGGCTCACGCCTGTAATCCTAGCTACTCAGGAGGCTGAGATCTGGGGGTCGAGATCTCAGTCAGCCCAGGCAGGAAAGTCCATGAGATTTTCATCTCCAGTTAATCAGCAAAAAGTGTGACATAGAGCTGGGGCTCAAGTGATTGAGTGCCAGCTTTGAACAAAAAGCGTAAGGGATGGTGCCCAGGCCATGAGTTCAAGCTCCAGGAATGGCGCATGCGCACACATACACAGTCTATGGAGTCGATTGGCAGAGGGTTAAAGCCTCAGGTTAACAGCTTGGGGAGGTTTTGAAGGAAACCATGGTGCACAGGCATCTGTTAAATGACAGCCATGGGTCCTCTCTGTGCTGCCCCCGGGGGGACCCTCTGTCCTTCCCAGGCCTGCGAGGAAATACCCCGTGCCATCGCCTCCTGCCAGGTGCTCTCCTCCTCCCTCTCCCTGCTCCACTGCTTGAGCCACAGCTCTGCTTCTGGCTTTCTGTGGTTCATTGGAAATAAGTCTCAAGGACTTTCCTGCCGGGGTTGGCTTCCAACCGTGATCCTCCGGTCTCAGTCTCCTGAGGATCTGGGATTATAGGTGTGAGCCATGGGTGTTTTCTACAGTCACAGGGACAGCGGGAAGCAGAGGCTGTGTGTGTGTCTAAGTGGAATCTGCACTGGGGGGGTGGGAGGGGTGCTGGGCCTGGCTGGGGACACGCTTCCTCCTCCCCAGGGAGCACCATCATGTATGGGGCGCTGCTGCTGTTCGAGTCCGAGTTTGTGCACATCGTGGCCATCTCCTTCACGTCGCTCATCCTCACGGAGCTGCTCATGGTGGCACTCACCATCCAGACGTGGCATTGGCTCATGACAGTAGCCGAGCTGCTCAGCCTGGCCTGCTACATCGCCTCTCTGGTGTTCCTCCACGAGTTCATTGGTGAGCACCCAGCCCGCCCCTCTCTGCGTGGGGGACAGGACCCATGGCTCTGCCCATGGGACGGAGGACCGGGCCATGCGCTTCTACATTTGTTTCTTCATTTGAGTCTTTGCGCTTCCAGCCATCCACCCCAGGCCTTGTCCATGATAGGCAGGTGATCTCCCGCGAGCCACTGCCCAGCCCTAGAGTTTGAAAACTGCATCGTGCTGGGCGCTGCTGAGCCTGTAATCAAGCCTAGCTGCTCTGGAGGCTGGGCGCCCCCGAAGGCTGGCAGTTCAGAGCCAGCCTGGGCAAGGCAGGCAGCGGGACTCTTCATCTCCAGTTAAGCAACCACGCATCCCAGCGCGGCTGTGGCTTAAGTGGTAGAGCGCCAGCCTTGAGTGGACAAAGCTCTGGGCTCGAACCCCAGGACCGGCACAAAAGAAAGTAAAACAAGCATTTCCGTTCCCGTGGAGAGCCGCCGGCCCCCGGGTCAGATCAGAGGCCGGGGGGTGAGGACGCGGGGCGGCGCCGCCGGTCCGGCCGTGCTCGTTCACCGGCAGCGAGGCCAGGCGCCAGGGCCCAGCGGGGGGCACTTGCCCCTTGGTATCTGGGGTGCATGCGCTTTCTGGAACATTCCAGCTGGCTCACTGGCGCCCCTGTCCTTGCAGACGTGTACTTCATCGCCACCCTGTCCTTCCTGTGGAAAGTGTCGGTCATCACGCTGGTCAGCTGCCTCCCGCTCTACGTCCTCAAGTACCTGCGACGCCGCTTCTCACCCCCCAGCTACTCGAAGCTCACGTCCTAGGCTGTGCGCGTGCGCGGAAGGGGGACGCACGTCCTAGGCTGTGCGTGCGCGAAGTTGGGGGGGGGGGGTGGAATCCCACGTCCCAGGTTCCGCGCGTGCGCGGAAGGGACCCACGTCCTAGGCTGCGCGTGCGCAGAGGGGACCCGGCCCGGCCCTGCCCGCAACCTGGGGACACGGTCCCTGTTCATTTGTGCTGCCCGCTGCCCGAGGGCGCGGTCGGAGTCGCTAACCCGTGGTCCTCGCGCTGTGGCACAGGCCCTGACCCTGGAGACGCGGAGGGGGGCGCGGGGCCGCGTGCGTGGGTCGCTGTGCCGGCTTCCTTGTGACTTGAATTTTGTTGCTCTGTGATAAAGTTTCTGTGTAGGTGAAGCTGGTGGAGGGCGAGTGATTTTGTCGTTAAACATTCTCCCGTGCGGCCGAGGAGCGGCGGGACCCGTGGCTCACGCCGTGATCCCAGCTACTCAGGAGGCCGAGCTCTGGGACCGCGGTTCAAAGCCAGCCCGGGCGGGCGAGTCCTGAGACTCGGATCTCCAGTGAACCACCAAAAAGCCAGAGGTGGGCTGTGGCTCAAGCGGTAGAGCGCCAGCCTTGAGTGAAAAAGCCCAGGGACAGCGCCCAGGCCCAAGTTCAAATCCCACTGCTGGCCCTAACAAGTAGTTGGAGGAAAACAGGAAGCTGGCAGGGAGACGGGGAAAGCCGCCCCGGGTCCCCCCGGCCTGCGGAGAGGGCGCCAGGCGCCGGCCTCCCACCCCCGGCGCTGCCCGGCCCGCTGCCCCAGCCGCTGAACGGATATCCCCGGCCCCGGTGCCTGTCGTCTTGGGAGCCGGCCACAGGCCTCTACGCTCCCCATGACGCTCACCGAACAGCGCGTGCGTGTGCGGGAAGACGCTCGCTCGCCCTGTGCGCCCCCTGCGCACCCCGGGGCGAGTGGCCGCGATCAGACCTGAGGCCCAGCGGCCTTCGGGGCTCCCGGGCCGGTTAGGGCGCGCCGCCGTCCCGACCAGCCGCCGTCCTGCCTGCCCGCAGCCTGCACAGGCACGGCTGCGCCCGGGATCCCGGCCCCGTCCCCGACGGCAGGTTTCCGGCAAGTGATTCCTGCGAGGGCCAGGCTGTGGGCTGCAGCGTGGGCCGGGCTGTGCGTTGCTGCCGATCACGCGAGGCCACAGGTCCCAGCCGGACGGGTGACGGGCTGGGGTCTGCAAAGAGCACAGTGTGTTGGGTCTGGGGTTCGTTCTTTGGAATGCACACCCCACGAACCTGAAGAGCGACGCCTGGCCCACGCCGCGACGCCCACCCCACTCTCAGAGCTGGTGCGAGGGCGGATGGCCCTCGGCCCGGCGGCGCGCTCCCGGCACGCACGGAACCCCGTCCCCCGCGCAGTCCGGCCACGCACGGAACCCCGTCCCCCGCGCAGTCCGGCCACGCACGGCCCCGTCCCCCCACCCTCACCACCCGCGCGCTCCAGGCACAGAGGACACCCCGTCCCCTGCCCAGTCCAAGCACTCACAGCACCCCGTCCCCCGAGTGCTCCCGGCACGCACGGCAACCCGTCCCCCACGCGCTCCCGGCCTCACGGAACTCCGTCCCTCGCGCAGTCCGGGTACGCACGGCACCCCGTCCCCCGCGCAGTCAGGGCACGCACGGTACCCCCGTCCCTCGCGCAGTCAGGGCACGCACGGCACCCCGTCCCTCGCGCAGTCTGGGCACGCACGGCACCCCGTCCCCTGTGTGCTCCCGGCCGCACGGAACCCTGTCCCTCGCGCAGTCCGGGCACGCACGGCACCCCGTTCCCCGTGCGCTCCTGGCACACACGGAACCCCGTCCCCCGCGCAGTCTGGGCATGCATGATACCCCGTACCCCCCCCCCCCCCCGCGCTCCCGCCACACACAGCACCCCGTCCCCTGCGCGCTCCCGGCACACACGGCACCCCGTCCCCTGCGCGCTCCCGGCACGTATGGCACGCGCTAGTCTCCTGGTTTGAAAGGTGGAAGAGAAAGTTTTACTCGGTTGCTCTCTGCCGCTGCTCTGTGGTGCTGGGACTGAACCACGGCTGTGCGCGTGCGCAGCAGACGCCCCGGGCAGCCGCGCCCTCAGCCCTGCTGTTGTTTTTGTTTTTGAGATGGAGGCTCCCTAGCTTTTGGCCAAGGCTGGGTTCAAGCCCAGGGCTGCTTGCGTCCACCCCCCACCCCCCAAGGGGCCTTTTGCTTGTTACCGGGAGGGGGTGGGCAGGCGCGCGCATCCTTTGTGGGCAGCGTTTTAAACCATTGACAGAAGTCCAAAAATTCAAAATTTCAAATTTTAGAGACACTTGTGGGCGTGGCCTCAGGATGGGCATCTCTCCATCCACCTGTCCATCCCTTCCTCCCTCCCTCCATCCATCATCCCTCTACCCACCTGTCCACCATCCATCTATCCCACCTCACACCTGTCCGTCCATTCATCCATCATCCCTCCACCCACCCACCCACCTGTCCATCCATCCATCCATCCATCATCTCCCTCCTTCCCTCCCTGCTTTGCTCTATTCATCCACCTGACTATCCAGCCATCCATCTACCTGTCCATCATCCCTCCCTCCATCTGTCCCTCATCTCTCCTTCCCTCCCTTTATCCATCCACGTGTCCATCATCCATCCATCATTCCACCCACCTGTCCATCATCCCTCCCCTCCCTCCTCCCGAGGCCCTGCAGTCCCGGTCGCCAGGGGGCGCACGGGGACCGAGAGGCGCCGGGTCTGCGCAGCTGCCTGCGTGCCAGGCGCTGTGTTCGTGGCAGGGCCGGCGGCAGCTCCCGTGAAAAACAGACGTTTCTTTTCATGGTGTTGACCAGAATATGTTGCTGGACTTGGTTAAGCCACAAGGGGCAGGGAGGGGGAGAAGGGCGAAGGGGGTGAATGTGCATTTGATCTCAGCTATTTGCCCAGCCCCGATGGGGCTGAGGTTTGGAGACGCGGTGTTCCTTTCTGTTATGAAACCGTGCGTGTGACACGCGCCCCCGCCGCGCTCGCCAGGAGCTTATAAATGATGGGTTGACTCACCTCAAAATAGAACTGTAGCGGCTCCAGGCTTTCCAGCAGCCCGAATACAGTAACAGAATTCATTCAGGACTTGCTAATTTCCGACTTTCAGGGGTTACGTAAGCCACAGCCCGCCTTCGGCCCTCGGCCCCCCTCCCCAGGCCTGGGAGCCCTGGCACGACACCCTAGAAACAGAAATAGCTGCCCAACTCGGGGAAGAAGAGGAGCTGGGTCCCCCATCTCCTCCGCCCCTCTCTTTTTGCAATTTTTTTTCACCCAAACATTGCATAACGTGTGTGTGTGTGTGTGCAGGCAAACCTTCCATGGGATTCTCTTCCCTCCTCCAGGAGGCTGTGGTTGGGGAGTAACTTAAGCACTTCGGGGCTGGCAGATTTTTGGAGGATCACCGAATTCTCAGATCAGTTTTCATGCGGAGTCGTGGTGGAGAAAGAAATCCTGGGGTTTCTCCCTCCCGCCCCTGCCAAAGAATCTCTGGCCAGAGTGGCTGCTCCCAGGACGCCCGCCCCTCCTCTTCCCTCCCCTCCCCACGCAAGGCTCCACTTTGAAATGGATTCCCCCTAGGGCTTGGGGGAACTGAGTCACCCATGAAGTCACCCAGCCCCACGACCTGTGCTTCGGCGGTGACAAGCCGAGATCCAGTTCTTAGAGTTCAGCCTGCGGGTCTTCGGCCCTTGCTGGGAACTGGGTGTTCTGAGCTGCTGCGGTCTGTTTTCAGGAGATTCAAGACAAATAAACTTGGCCTTTTATTGGGTCAGAGAAACCTGGGGTATTTTTTTTTTTTTCCTTTCACAAAGATTGTGGTCCGGGAGAAAGGGGAGTGAGGGGCATGTATTTGTTGATCAAGTATTTACCTGCCACGTGTTTGGCCCTGCTCTGTGGGCAGCCCCAGCTCCTCCTGGCTGCAGCCATCTTTCTGTGCAAGTGTAGGAAGAGACTAAGCGGGCACATACAGGCTCAGCCACAGCTGGAGACCAGGCTTCCAGAATAAAGCAGGGCAGGGCTCGGCAGAGAAGGAGCCTCTGGGCACAGGCCACAGGGCAGAGGCCTGCAGGATGAGGAGGAGGGGGCTTTGGGAAGATCTGGCTGGGGGATTAGCACTCAGGCAGTGAAGTGCAAAGGCCCTGGGGTAGGAAGGGCTGGCCGTGAGAGGCTGGCATGTGGCTGGATTGAGGGGAAGCATGGAGGAGATGCTGCCAGGGGGAGGTAATGCTGCAGGCCTAGGCATCGAGGCCAAGGTGGCCTGTGGCACAACAGCACAGATGTTATGAAAGTGACCCCCTCGGGGTGGCAAGGTGGCTCAGTGGTAGAGCGCTTGCCTCGCATGCATGAGGCCCTGGGTTCGATTCCTCAGCACCACATAAGCAGAAAAAAACGGAAGTAGCGCTGTGGCTCAAGTGATAGAGCGCTCGCCTTGAGCTGAAGAGCTGAGGGACAGTGCCCAGGCCCAGAGTTCAAGTCCCATGACCAAAAAGAAAAGTGACCCCTCTGCTCCTGAACTATGCCCTAGGCCTCTTCCACACCCTCCCTCCAGGACTGTGTCTGCCTGTCCTCTGCCCACACCGTCCATCCGTCAGAAGCGACTTGATTTCATAAACCACGCTGACTGCTCAGCACGGGTGAGGGGTGTCCTGGTCAGCCTGGGCCTGGGTGGCTTCCCTCCAGCATCGAGGGAAGGAGGCAGGGACTGGAGGGGGCTGGAGGGAGGGCAGCTGGGGGGGGGGTCTGGAGGGAAGGCGGGGGGGGTGTCCACTGGTGGTGGGAGGCCCTCCCCCGGGAGCTGCCTTGCTCTCCTGTGCCCACTGGGGTCAGGTTTCTGTAAGGCCCGCACGCGTGCGCATGCGCACGGAACCCGGGCTGCGTTCCGATTCCTCCCCAGCAGAAGTAACGAGAACAGGATGCAGCAAAGAATGCAGCGAGCCTCTTAAAGCCGGCAGACATCATCCTCGTTTGTCTTTTTATGTGAAACAGATTTTTAAGAAGGCAATTGGAGCAGCTAATGACACCCAGAGCCCTGGGAGGGGGGGGATGGAATGGGGGGTTGGGGGGCTGAAATTGGTCCAAACAGCTAATCAGGCCTGAAGAAAGAGGTGAGCTGATTAGCCTGGAAATGGCCCAAGAATTCTTCAAAGACACGGCCAGTAATTCGGGTTTAAGACGCTACTCTTTATGCACATAACTTAGCATAATTTTATTAGGCAGCTCATCACCCCTAGAGTTAAAGAATCAGGCGGAATACGGGGGGGGGGGGGTCGGGGCCGGCACACAGATGAGGACACTTTGCTCCCAGACGGCTGGAAGGGGACACCGGGCAGAGCTCTGCCTCTCTCCCG